ACGTACGTACGTACGTACGTAGGGGNGGGGGGGGGGGAGGGACTGAGATGGAGGGGTGGAATCCCCAACGCTCAATTGCAAACCCGAAACAAAATCAGCGAGGCGGCAGCGGCAGCGGCAGCGGCAGCGGCTCCTCCCGAATGGGTGTCTGTACATCCGTACATACTACGTACGTGATGCAGAAGCAGTGCTTCTGGGAATTACTCGCATGCGTAAACCCTGTCTACGTTTTTATACCCTGTCTTCGTCTTTACAGCTTGTTTACATGTTTTCACCCTGTTTACATGTTTCCTTCTTCTTCCTCTCCTCTCCTCTCTTCCTCTTTCTTTTTGTCTTACTACGGTACTACGGAGGGGCAAGGGCCCCCTCTTCACACGACGTCAGTTGGCTCTCCGTGGGGAAAAAAGGAAGAAAAAAATAAAGTGAGTTGTCACTAGTTCGTTTGTTCACTCGTTTGCGAATTTGGGTGGTATGACGTAGGAGAAGAACTGGCGGCGGCTATCGCGCACCCAAGACTGAATCGTGTGAGTCGAGTGGAGTATTTGGAAGAGGGGGGTTTTTTTTTTGGCGCGCTAGTGCGGACTTGCGGGCGGGCGGTTGGGCAGTTGGGCGAACTGCATAATTCTTACTGTACTCTTTTTTAGGAGGTGGGAATGGAAGCTGTGGGAGATTTTTTCCTTCCTTCCTTTCTTAGGGGAGTGGATGAGATGGAGTGTGTCATTTTCGGTTCCGTTCGGTACGGTCCTCTCTCTCCCTCTGTCTCTCTCTCTCCGTCTTACCCGATTTGGTCGGACGGGTGGTGAAGGAAATGGCGCGAGAAGTGCCTGCGTGCATGGCTCTTCCTCTCCTCTCCTGCTCTCCTGGCTGACTCTCTTTCTGGGTTTTGTAGGGGTAGGACAAAGGAGTTAACAAATTTTCACTTTTCGTCTCCGTCACTTTTTGCTTCTTTTTGCTTTTGCGGTTCTCTCTCTCTCTCTCACACACACACACACACATTCTCTCTCTCCCCTTTCTTCCGCGGCAGCGACGTTGGGCGAGGTTAGTTGCGTTTCATCAGCGGCTGCTGTCAGTAAGTACGCAAGTAGGCTTGAAGTCCGGTCCGGTCCGGTCTGGTTTTGGGGTGGGACCTAGTCGGACTGGAACTCCTACGTAGAAGAAGAAGTACCAGGCGTAAGTAACTGTTTACGTCCTCGAGGGTAGGCTACGCAGGTAGGGGTTTTTAAGATGGAAATTTAAAACTAAAAAAAAATAAAAACTTTTGAGGCGCCCTCGAGGGTGTGATGATTACGTCTGGACCGTGGTTGTTGACGGGAACTGCTTGTTGTTGTTGTTGTTGTTGTTGTTGTTGTTGTTGTTGTTGTTGTTGTTGTTGTTGTTGTTGTTGTTGTTGTTGTTGTTGTTGTTGTTGTTGGACTGGAACTGCTTACTGTTGTTGTCGTTGTTGTTGGAGGGGAACTGGAACTAGTCGGATTGAACAACAAGTCGGAGGTCAGTCCAGGGCCGCAGAATACCTAGCAGGGTGGTGGGCAGAATCGGGATGGACCGGAGCGGGAGGGAAGGATTCAGATGGGTGGGATAAGATAAGATGGGACGGGAGTTTTTTTTTTTTTTATTACCTCTCTCTCTCTTCTGTTCTTCCTGTCTGTTGTTGTTGGCTTTTCTTTTCCGGCTGGGCTTCTTCGGCTGGGCTTTTCTTTTCGGGTTGGTAGTCGTGATTGGGGGAATCGGTGTGATCAGTGAGTGAGTGAGTGAGTTGCACCTACCTACCTACCTACCTAGCTGGGGAATCAGGATCAGGATCAAATCAAGTGGGATCTGAATGATCGATCGGCTTCTTCTTTGTTGCATTCCTTTTGGAATTAATTAATAATTTTTTTTTTTTATTTTTTTTTCTTCTCCATCGTGGTTCATCTTCATGGCATGGTATGGCTTGGCTGTGGTGTCGGTGTCGGTGTCGGTGCGGTGAGATGCGGTGCGGTGTCATGGTGTGTGCATGTGAGTGATGAGTGAGCGGGCGATGGGCCTCGCTGGTTTTGGCTTGCTTGGGGTTTGGGGTGGGGGAGAGAGAGAGGTGGGTAGGTAGCTCTGTAGGTAGCTCTGTAGGTATAGGTAGGTGGTAGAGAGGAGTTTACGCGTGGGAGATTCGGAGCTATGTGGGGAGGGGGGGGTTGTTGGATTAGGCGGTGCTGGTGCTGTGTACGTGAGGTTTGGAGAAGAGAATTGGAGGCCTTTTCATGAGAATTTCGTAGGCGTGGAATATCTTGGGTGGGTAGGTTGGGAGGGGGGCGGGGAATGGGGGAAAGGGGAAGGGAAAGAGAAGGGAAAGGGAAAGGGGAAGAGAAAGTGAAATTGTTTGAAGTTTGCAATAAGTAAGGAGTAGGACGAAAGGAGATTTCGAGAATGGGATGGAGATGAAATGGGATGGAACTAAATCAACGGATCCCTTCTCAAGTTGAGGGAGGTTCGGTTCGTACCTCCTTGTTTCTCTGGGATGGGTGCGTGGATGGTTTTTGAGATGATGAATGGCCAGCTAGCCGATCATACATACTGTCTGCCAGAGAGGAGGATAGACGGATAGTGCGCTCCTCTTATCTCATGATACGATTATGCTCTTCGGATGTTGGTGTCGTGGTCGTTCGCCGTTGAACAGACAGCCTGGTATGATGTGATGTGGTGAGCTAGTTTAGTCTAGTTGAGTTTTCCAGATACTTGTCGGGAATGAATGGGTTGGTTGGTTGGTGCTTGAATATGAAGTATATTCTACTTGCCTTTTGTCAGAGATAGGTAGCAAGCACGCAAGCTTTTCGACGGTGGTACTCACTCCGTAGAACTAGAGATGATATCGAATAGGAGAAGATATTGAATAGGAGAAGATATTTGGGACTTGGAGGGTTTGATGGGAGGGAGGGGTGAAGTGAGTGAGTGAGTGAGTAGAGATGACGGGAGTTGGGGGGGAGGGGGAGGGGGTGAATCCAGGGTGTGGTTTCCTTCGCTCGAAAGGATGATTTGTCTTTTGAATTGCTGAAGTGAGTGCTAGAAGGTGAGCCGGTGCAGCTTCCAGCTTGTGTGATATCGGAGACGGAGATCGCTTTGTGGGTATGCTTTTTGGGGAGGGGAGGAGGGGGGGCAGAACAGAAACGGAAGGGAATTTGTATGTGAGCATTTGCTATACTCGTCTCTACGTATTGGAAGAGCGGGTTGATGGTTATCACCTACACTTCTCAATCAAGCGTGTGGTTTCGCTCGAACGATAGTTTGTCTTTCGGATTGCTGAAGTGCTCGTACGTGAGCTGGTGCAGCTTGTATAACATCGAAGACGGAAATCCATTTGTGGAAATCCTCGGTGGGGCAGAATACTTTATAGATGGGGAAGAGAATTTCTGTGTGAGCATATCTAAAATGAAAAATTATATCTAAAATGAAAAATTCAAGGTCTCAAACGCATTTCTGTTGCTTAAGACATAAAATTCAATGTGGTATGTGAAGAGCTTCCCTGTAAGTAAATCCGCAAAGCTGAAGTGAACGACAATGTGATGTCGTCGATGAATGTTTCCCCACACTCGCTAAAAAATCATCCAATTTTTGACTGTGGCCTCACTTAAAACCATCTCGACCTTGCCCATTGCGAGACGAACCCAAGGAATATCTCGACGTCAACACCTGTACGTATACCCCCGACCTGCGCAACCTGCGCAACCTGTCCATCGTGCCCCTTACTCATCGCGCGAAAGAGATTTTTCACTGACAAGGCCGACGCCGAAAAGTTACGATTTCCATCCCTCAGCCTCACCTTCACCCTCACCCACCTGTCATAATTCCGGTCATAGGCCACCAAACAAACCGCAATCATGGATATGGAAAAGCTGAAGAAGATGCAGCAGTCGGTGAGAATTGGTGAGTTCGATCTAAGAAGCTCGAAACATGGTCTCTGCGGCTCCTAGGGCGCGTGGAGGCTCCGGGAGATAGCTTTATATATCAGGTCGATCCATGCTAACATTGTACCACAGGGTACATTACTTTCCCTTCCTACGTCTTAAACAAAGCTAGATCGCACAATTCGAGGCTGGCAGATGCACCGCCACGGGGTACAAATGGTATACAGGATGCTGACAGATCGATAGCGGAAAGGGCACACCAAGAAGAAAGGTCAAGAAGGTGCATAAGACTGGGGGTATCGATGACAAGAAGCTGCAAACCGCGCTGAAGAAGCTGAACGTCCAACCAATCCAAGCCATCGAGGAGGTCAACATGTTCAAGGCTGACGGAAACGTTATCCACTTCGCTGCCCCTAAAGGTAAGGAAGACTAGAAGGCTACCACCAAATCTCTCAGAACTAGCCACCTGGAAACTCCTGGAGATGTCCTGCCGCATACCTCAAGCACCGTGCTGACTTAGGTGTCTTCTATAGTTCATGCCGCCGTCCCATCCAACACCTTCGCTATCTATGGAAACGGAGAAGACAAGGAGCTCACCGAACTCGTCCCAGGTATCCTCAACCAACTCGGTCCCGATTCCCTTGCCTCCCTCCGCAAGTTGGCCGAGAGCTATCAATCCATGCAGAAGGCCGAGGGTGGTGACGAAAAGAAGGATGATGACGACGATGACGACGACATCCCTGAATTGGTTGCCGGCGAGAACTTCGAGGACAAGGTTGAATAAAGGATTGCAAATACTGCAGGGAGTCTTTCGCGGATATGGGAGGGTGGATGGAGCACTGATTTGAGGGCTTTCTAAGGGATCCTTTGGGCTACGTTATGACTGGTTGCATGAAATATGGCGATAGTTATAGGGTTGCTCGCTTTTACAAAATCATACAGCGCCTTTCCGTCTCCCCTATGATTGCCTCACGATGCGCACACATTTACAAGGAGCATAAGGCATTTTTTAAGGTAGGTATGTCACGTGATGCAAATAAGGACTGGGCTGCGGCTGGGCATGGCTATTGACTGGTTCTTCTACCGGTAGCTTCCAAGTAAGTTTCGAATTTCACCGCTTGATTCGTTCGTGACAGTCAGAATGGAAACACGAAGTTGAACTGCCTTCTTGATGCAGTCGTCGGATTCAGCTCGAGGAACATGATATTGTCGATCTTCCGGGCTCTTGTGGTGGCTCAACAGTAACCGGGAGCTCGGAGGAGGAGTAATGTCACCCTGCAAGTTTCTCATTGAGGAAGCAGCTAAATCTCTGTGTATATAGCCACGATGCAATCATCTTTCTCTTCTGACTGAGAACCACTACCGAATCGCTTTTAAGATAGCAAAACACGGCGCGAAATCAGAGCGCTCATGGATAGAGCCGCTGAGTATCGAGGACCACCTGGAAGCCTACCAAGCCTTGAATACCGAAAAAGGAGTGAGATGATGGTCGTAAGCAGCCTCTTTCGCATCGGTTGCCTGCCTTCAAGCTTCTCGCCCAGCTCTACATGTCCTTGAGAAGACGATACTGATGAATTCCACAGAAGCCATACTGGTCCCAGGAACAGCATCGATGATACCAGGGCCCTGCTCATATCCCGACAGCCACCAGAAGAGCAAGCATATGTGGAAATGTTTGCCGTCATGCTACCGTCTTCCGACATCGACGCGGCTGGAAAAGCGACGTTCGTCGGCTCCATTGGCATTATCCGCCTCGCCGAAGATGGGCAATCGGCTGAGGTCGCCTATGGAATGCTGCCTCGCGACTGGGGCAGGGGGTATGCCCCTGCAGCGTTGGAATTTCTCGTTGATTACTACTGGAGCAGTGACAGTAGGTCCCACTCTACCTTGGAGGATCAAATTGGTCCTTTGTGCTGTTCTGAGAAGTGGACTGAATATTTGGGATAGGAAAAGTTCAGAAGGACATTCTTTCCGCTGGCACTGAGCCCCGGAATGTTCAGAGTCGGAGAGGTTTGGAGAAAGATGGGTTTACGAGGGGAGCAACTATCGAGAAGGCGTTTGAGGCGAGGGATTCAGTCACTGGTGAGATGGAGTGGAGGGCGGCGCGCCATATTGTGGCATATCGAGAGGCCGACGGCATAGAATGGGGCGTTTTTGCCGGCGCAGCCCTTTCGAACTTACGATCATCTCAACAACCATTTTCCTCATGCAAGTCAGATTCTTGTTGCAGCACGTGATACTTGAGTCACTTCCGGCAGTTGAAGGCTGACAAGAGCACCAGTGGTACAGTAAATACTCTTTTGCGTCCCGGTTCTCTCTCTCTCTCTCTTTTTTTTTCTTCTTCTTCCACAAAACATCCAAATCATGCATCCCTACGTAGCAGAGTCTAGTCGACTCTACCTGCAAGAGCTGAACGAGGAGATCCATCTACAGACCTACCATGCACTAATGAGCAATGAAAAATCCATGATGTGGTCGTACGTACTTCCTTACTTACCACTCCCCCCCTCCCCCTTACCACGACAACGAAACTTTGTATTGCCTCAAACCACGACTCCAATCTAATCTATTCCATTCTATCCTCAACTCAACTCAACTCACCCACGAAGGATCTCACTCACTCACCCTCACAGGACGAAGCATGCCACCACGAGCGTGGAGGAATCGCGGCAGCAGCTCCGCGGCCGGATGCCCACGCCCGAAAAGCCGTGGAATCGGCTGTGGGCTATCATGCTCAAGAACGGCAGAGAGGAAGGAGACGGGAGCGCGAAAGCGGTGCATATTGGGAATATCGAGATGCCGAGGGAGGCGGAAGTCGGCTATCGTATCCATCCGGACTATTGGCGGAGGGGCTACATGTCGGAGGCTCTGGCTATGTTTATTGCGTTCTGGTGGGCGGAGGAAGGTATGCATCCTCGTTTTCATTTTTGGTCTTATTTTTGATCTTTTTTTTTTTATCTTCTTTTCCGATCTTCTTTTCCGATCTTCTTTTCCGATCTTCTTTTCTGATCTTCTTTTCCGATCGTCTTTTTTTGATCTTCTTCTTCTTTGATTGGCGTCTTGAGGTCTCGAGACCTACCCAGCCCTCGCCCTTTCTCACACCCCCTTCCAATCCATCTCTTCCTTCCCGCCAACACATCAAAGACCGACTCACCCGATCCAATCCATTCCCCCCCCTCTCTCACTCACCTGTCCCCCCCTTTCCGCCCTCCAGCAAACCAAAAACACGCCCACCTCCTCGCAGCAGCCGACCCGCAGAACATCGCCAGCACGAACCTCCTACTCAAGCACGGCTTTCAGAAGAAAGGCCCGTTGCGAAAGGCTTTCTACGCGAGGGCTTCCTTGCAGGAGGGAGGCTGGGATGATCAGGCGAACAAGAGCGATTTGCAGTACTTTTCTCTTGATCGACCGGTGCACGGGCAGAATGCAATGCAATGGGAGCAAGGAAGGAAGGGATGGATGAATGAATGAAATGAATGAATGAAATGAGCTGGCAGGCAGGCTGGTTTTCCCAGAGGGATGCTCACATAGGAAATGTCGGGGTTTACATCTATATATACAGAGAGAGAGAGAGATGTAGGGAGAGTTAAGGAAGGAGATGATGCTTTACAGCTGGCTGTTGCTGTGTCTGTGTCTGTGTCTGTGCGAGATGCACAATTAAATACACTAACAAGGCAGAGGGAAAGGAGACAGGAAACAGGGGAAATGTTGTATGTCCATGTTCGATTCCATGGAGATGAGTGGATGCGCAAATGAGTTGGTTGTGGTGTGGTCAATCGACGGCGTACGTGTGATGAATAAGAAAGTAGGCAGAGGAGGGCAGAGCAGAGCAGAGCAGAGCAAAGTAGTCCGTCCCTTAGCCGTAAATATATATATATACATAAGGTATATATCGATATACACGAGCTTATATCTATCCGAATTGACGAATTGACGAATTCATATTCACATTTGCCTTCAAATTCATTAGCGAGCTAAAAATAGCCCCCTTGTACTCCGTACTTCGACGGAGAAGGAGAAGAAGGAGAAGAGGAAGAAGAAGAGGAGGAGGAAGAAGAAGAAGAAGAAGAAGAAGAAGAAGAAGAAGAAGAAGAAGAAGAAGAAGAAGAAGCAACTTCCGCCATTAATTCGAGTGAATGCGGATACCTCTGAGCGTATTCTCGCTCCGTACTCCAATGTGCATGAGACATCTACTCCGTATCGAATCAGATCACCTGGTAATAAAGTACAGAAGTCGAGTTGAATTACTTATTTAATTATCGATCAAAATTAAAAACTACTGGAGAACTACTGATATACAGAGAGTGTCGCAATTCTTACCCTGTTTATTTCATGGCGACTAATCGTCGGCTCGCTTAGGTGGGCCTCCTTTCAGCCTTTCAGACTTTATGGCTTATCCTCATTTTCTTGCTTCACAATGACAGCAGCGTCGCCAGCAGCGTCGCCAGCAGCGTCGCCAGCAGCGTCGCCAGCAGCGTCACCAGCAGCTCCGCCGCCGCTCTGGACCGACTCGCCCGTCAATAAGCCCAGCTGGGAGACGTTCCAGCCTTGACTCGAGAGGTACGTCCGGAACGAGGCGTCCTCCTTCGTGATGGTATCCTGGCCGATGTCGGGGAGGCAGAAGAGAGCCAGGACGGCACTCAGCATGCACAGCGCGCCCGAGACGTAGAAGGGGTACTGGGCGGAAGCGGCGGTGCCCTCTCCGCCGGCCTTCTCGATGTAAGGGAAGATGTAGGTGCCGACGAAGGCGCCGATCTTGCCCGTGGCGGCGGCGATGGCGTAGTACTGCCCACGGACGCCCGTCGCGCACGTCTTGGAGGCGACCAGGCCGATGTTGTCGCCGGGTCCGAGCTCGCCGAGCGAGAGGAAGATGCCGTAGACGATGGCAAAGGCGGCGACGTTCACGGGCTTCGCTAGAGTGGGGTAGAGACCAGCCATGATGAATCCCACGATGGCTTGCGCGAAGACACCTGACGCGAGAGCGTATCTAGGGCCGACCTTGTCCGAGTAGAAAGATCCCAGCATGCAACCGGGGATGTAGAAAAGATTGATGACAGTGTTCCAGCCGAACGTGGTGGTCAGCGGAGCGGACGCTCCGTAGATATTGGCCAGGATTGTCGAAGAGTAGATACCGAAGGAATATGTTGAGAACTTTGAAGGTTAGTGAAAGTGAAGGATCGAGCATGTCTCCTAGGTACTCACATCGTACATGAACCAGATCGCGCTGACGACGAAGAGTCTCCATCCATAGTACTTGATGACCAGAAGGTATGGGATCCTGACATTTTTCATGCTCTCCCTAGCTTCTGTTAGGATTGTCTCGAATGTGAACCGGGAATGGGGAAGCAAGCATACTTCTTGTATTCCTCGGGCTCTTGGAGCTGGAATCGAAGAAGTAGAAGGACCATCGGAGGCACAACACCAAGTCCCAAAGATATTCTCCATGCAGCTCGCAGGTGGTCTGAGGTGCATATGACAACCAAGAGGTATGGGACAAAACTGAATCGTTAGCTCACTGCCGGTTTGAAAAGATTAGATGAGTGATAAACTTACGCGCCAATGACGAAACCCCAGTCGATCATAACGTTTGTGAAGAGAATAAACCATCGGTTACGAGTTCCGGCCTTGAGCTCGCCGGTCGATTCAGCACAAGCAACACTTCCGGCGGGATACTCTCCTCCGATACCGATGCCGGCGAGGAAACGGTACGCCGTAAGAGCAGCGAACATTCCTTGCGTTGACCCGCCTGCTCCGTAGGAACCCGCAGCAAGAGCCGTAAAGACGATGAGGATGATGGTGGAAACGAGGAGGGAGTTCTTGCGAGACCACTTGTCGCTCGTGTATCCGAAGATAAGTTGCCCTACGACGGTACCGGCGAATGTGATTGCCGAGACATTCTTCTTCGCGGAGGAGTCGGTATAGGCTGCTCCGTAGATCATGGACAGCATGGTGGAAACGCTTCCGATTACCTGTGGTCCACCGGTGAGGTAAGTACATGCATGTATGTCATATTGGTGTCTTTCTCATCTGATGGGGGAGAGAGGGCATACGTTGTTGACATATCCATCCGAGAAGAGACCAGCACCACAGGCCATGGCGGGCCAGATTCGCTCCCAGGTATTCTTCCCGGTGTTCTCCAGCTGGTCCTCGGCCACATTCTGCACATATGGTGGTGCATCTTTGGCCGAGTCGGGTTGTGAGGGCGCGGCTTGTGCCTCAGTGGCAGGTTCACGCTTTTTGAAGCCGAACATACTTACATGGAGGTTCCCGGCTATAGGTATGATAGGTGTGAAAAGGGTGTGAAAAGGAAGGGTTAGAAGGAAAAAAATGACGGGGACGGGGACGAGAATGGAGAGAGGGTGGGAGGATACTTATGGGTTATGTGGGGAGAAAAGTTGGACGGTCTCGACTCTGGACTCGAGCTAAGGGACTGGACTCCGGCTATCATGATGAATCTCAAGTCACAGGTCACAGGTCACACTTACTGAAGAGAGGTTGGCTTGGCGGGGAGCCGTGGAGCTGTGGAGCTGTGGAGTACCGACGGTGGAAGTTGTTCAAGCCGTCTACTAGGCAAGTCATTGATTGTCTTTAGCTGTGCCGTGCACTTGATACTATAGATAGAGATATCGACGAAGATATTGATATCGATATCAATGTCGATGTCGAAGTCGATCACATCCAAATTGATATTCCTCGTCCGCCATCCCAATCCATGCTTGTCCTAATGCTTGTCCAATGCTTGTTCAATGCTTGTCCAATGCTTATCCCAATGGTTATCCCAATGCTTGATTCGTTTGTCAGCCGGGGCACGGCCTTGAACAAACGTGCCGCTAAAAGGCTTAATGTTGGTTGATACTGTATTGGTACTGTATTGATGATGATGACGCATCATCAGCCGCTTTCCTTTCCTTGCAACGTCACAGAAGTTTGCGGTGCCTCCGATGCCTCCGTTGAAGACACATCTTCGTTCCAAAAGGGCACGTGTTGATGGTGACCCCGCCCTTACCCTCAACCCCACTCCCACCCCGAAGTACAATCCCAATATCACCTCAATCTAACCCAGCATCTAGCATCGAATTTTCCTACGAGATCACCCACCAGACCAAATATAACAGCTAGGACACACAGAAAAAAGAAGAGATCGCTTAATTTTTCGAATTAAATTTAAGGAAACCGACAATTACTATCAAATTTTACTTAATAATTAATATCTCAAGTAATACAACAGATGAAATCGTTTTTTTCGATCTATGGAACGTTTTTTTCAAGTAAGGTTATATTAAGATTTTCGAAGCAAACAAATAAAATAGAATCATTTGGGACAGTTTTTAGCTATATTTTCGTTACATTTTAGTGTATTAAGTCACTACAAATGAATACATCTTTATATCCTTGATTCAAGTTTATAAAGCAAAGTTTTGTAAGCATACAAGGATTTTTTTTTCTTATTTATATTAATAGTTGTTGTTTAATAGGTGGCATACCGTTACTGTCCCGCCTTGGTGGTGCCGACCTGGTGTGACGACGACCTTAAGCGATTACCTGAAGGAACTCACGGGAGCGCGGGGTTCACATGGGAGCTCAGGAGAATCTCAAAGTAATGACTTAGAATCAGCAACTACCGAGTGTAGAGGTCGACGGTAGCTGAGGTCTATATACACGCAGGTAAGAGCGCCAAGGACTCGTGGACCATGGTTCATGGGTCAAAAAGAGGGGAATGAAAGATTACGAAGAATACGAAGGAAAAAGGAAGGAGGTGGCTTAGCGCATGTGGGGATACGTCCAAGAGACCTGGCGTGTCGTCACACCTGGCGCAGCCCGGTCGGGATTTTTTTGCAAACTCAAATCAAGGTAACCGACGATTAGAATTTGATTCGTTTCCTACTTTACGCAATAAATCGATCAAATCTTTATTATTATGAAAATTAAAGCTACCGATATTAATATTCATATCAAAAAAAGAAAAAAGATTTGCTTTCAAGAGGGGTTTGAAATAGTATCGGTTGTAATTATTAAATTATTACTGAGAAAATGTTGAAGTTGAAATAAAGTCGATCGGAGAAAACCTTTTTTTAACGAAGCCGCAGAACTTCAAGCTTAAAAGGTTATTGCAATTGTCAAATCTTTCCGGAATCGAGATTTGGAGTTTGCAAGATCTTATTTTGACCGCCGCGCTTGCGATTCTTCGATCGCTTGAAGTAACTACTTGATGTGCACTGATTAAGATCGTATATACGCGCGGCAGTTTTCCAAGTCTCTTGAAGATATTCGGATAAGGATATTATAGCTCGTTAGAGACGCGTCGCAAGATTTTTAATTGCTTTAATACTTTTTAAATGAGTGTAGCTTTTGCATTAAAAAACCTTGTTAGGCTTTGTCCGATAATTGCGTTTTCGGCCTATAATTAATTAGAAAATATAATTGAATTATGCGGTTGTAGTGTCGGTACATCAATATCGACCCGAGGTAGTCAGTGGCTAGTTAGGAGTGATGTGGCCAGTTTGGGTATCTCAAGCACAAATGAGCCACCCTCGCCTAGCGTGACACGCCTTTCAAGGAGCCCCCAACTGCGATGGAAACACTATCAAATAGCTAGTGCGCGGCATTCCTCTTAATCGTGTACTATCCCCCTCCCTGAATAAAAGACAGACCCACTTGGTGAAAGCATATTTTGACCTTAAAGCCTACCACTGATTACAGTAAATGTAGCAAAAAACTTATATATTAATTTTCTAGTATTTTGTAAGTCTTCCTTGAGCATCAATGATTGCTTGATATCGATTTTACTACGAATTATATAAAGAAATAATGAATTCTGGAGGAACTGCTTCCCAAGCGCTAGGGTTACAACCCCCTGGTCAACACTTGGTAAAATTAAACTTTTCGTCTTTTATTCAAGAGGATAGTAGAAGGAACCAGCCCCTTGAACGTTAGGGAACAGACAGAAACAAAGTACTGTTGTTAATCGTCGGCTCGCTTAAGTAGGCCGGCCTCCTTACAGTCTTGTTTCGCAATTGCAAGAAGCTACTACGTACGTGTGCTGCACGCTAGGATTCACGAAGTTACGAACGTTCGCTATCGGCGATCCAATATGTAGATTAGAAAGTGATATTATGAAATGTATTTTGTATATAAAATTAATAATGAGATAGAAAAATCCGCATTCGCTTCCGATCCATAATCGCTTACGCCGACTAAGACTGAAAGAATGTAAGGAGGCCCACCTAAGCGAGCCGACGATTAGGACATCGTGCTCTAGGTAACCGGTATGTTCGAGGCTTAGGGAATCTTTGGCCAAACCTCACTCGCCAAGCAAAGGCGGTAATATAGTAGTAGTACTTTGAAACCGTACGGCAGATCAGGCTCTCTTAAAACGATACTGATTTCTTTATTCGCTGTATTAGAAGCTGATTTTGCATCAATCAAGCGGAAAAGAATTAAATGTTTACGTACTAGTCGGTCTCGCTTCAGTAGTACGTCGCAGGCGTAATCGGTACACCCTTGAGGGTCGGGTAATCAGAGGGTTTGAAGTGGAAATTTAAACTTTTGAGGCACCCTCAGGCTGTAGCAATTCGGACGGGAGTGGCATATGGTAATTTCAAAAGTTTGTTGTTGACTCGCCGACGAGTTTCAGCCTCTACCGCACTTTTCACATCTATGGAATAATACGAGTATAAAGTCTTCTTCATCCCGCAAGTCTTTCTCTACATCATCATCAGTCTTTCTCTACAACATCATCATCAGTCTTTCTCTACAACATCATCATCATCAGTCTTTTCAGCCTTCAGATTCTCAACTTTGAAAATCCAAACACAACAGATACATCTGTACATCAATCCTTCACACACTTTCCTCTACACATCTTCAAAATGATCGCCATCAAAGCTTTCCTTGTCGCTGTTTTGTAAGTAGCTAATCTAATCCATCTTCATCAGCATTATTATATACCTAGCTTGCTAACTTGCATACCTGTTGCTTTAGCATCTCTGCAGTGAGCGCTAAGGGTACATCTTGCAGCTGTGTCGATAGCGATGAAGCGAAAGTCATCTGCGACAAACTCGATCAAAACGTAGTTAAATACGTACAAGGGAGAGTAAGTGATCACAAAGATTTAATCAAGTCTTTACAAACTTATATATCGATATATATACTAATAACACATTGTTTTTTTAGTGCGAATTGCCAAGTCAGAAATATGTCGATCAATTCTCTGCGGAATGCTGGAAGAGCGACAAGAATCGCTTCGGTCCAAGATGCCGCGATTCGGATGTGTTTGTGTAAGGTGATGGACTTGTCACTTGTCAAGACCTCTTTAAAGGCGTAATAATTACGCCTTTATCGTGGTATTGACAGGTCTGCCTTAGCCTAACAAGATGTAGTAGTACTTCACTTATCAGGAAATCAATGGCCAGGTAGATGACGGGTATCATCGGTGGTCTGTTGCAAAGGGAAGAGAATCGAATACATTATAACAACAACCTTGTCTATCTGTCTATCTGTCTGTCTTGTCTATGTAGACCGTCTATCCACACTCAAAAATCAACCCAAAGAAGTGACTTTGATGCATGACATTATATGATTCATTTAGTAATGATAATTCAGCAAAGAGGAAAAAGGTTTAGAGCAATGTAGACAATATACGTACCATTGGACAAAATATAAGAATTAAATACTTTTTGCCTCGATATGACGTTTCGCTTCAACGCAGATAGATAATCTTATACCTGCAAATATATATCAGTATATCTAGTGTATTTCGTCGGAGTTATATTACGGGATGTGTAGAGACCGAACTCGCGGAGCTTAATTAATGCGTCACGGAACTGGATCGGCCTTTGATGGGGATTTCGTATTTGGGACATAGCCATAGTCACGTGATAATAACCATGTCGCCCTTCCTTTTTCTTTCTCCTCTACACTGCACTCTTAATTTCATACTTAAATGATCTGTCAATAAACATAAAGTGGGAAATCCTCTCAAGGCCTGAATTTTTAAAGATCTTGAAAAGAATTGCACGCGGGGAGAAGATGTCATCCGATAAGAGTCTCTCAGTCTCGGTTACGATAAGAGCTGTCAAGTCATTTCCCTCCGGACCTCGACCTCATCCTCCTTCGATAGCTGCGCCTTGTTTGTTTTTCGACGGAACGCGTGCGAGACAAACCTGCGACGATGGACTTAGTCTGGAATAATAGATGCTGCTGTATAAAATCCCGTCCCTGTTGAAGAAAAACCATATTTCCGTCTACTCTTCAAAGCAGCCAAGAATACGCCTTTTGCCACCCGAGAGACAACGAAACTCGTCAGCCATCGCTCTTTCGCACAGCGTTAGCAGTAATTGGAATACCTGACACACAGAATCCAGCCTGAGGTACAAGCCTTACACCAAAAAAGCCCCAGCAATGGTCGGGAAGAGAGGGGCCTCACGTGGTGGAGGGAAAGGGAGAGGGAAAGGGAGAGGAAAAGCCAGTGCAGTCCCGGATGTCTATCAGGACATGTTATCAGAGGCTCTCTCAGCTCAAACTGAAATCCCAGAACGGCCTCTGAAGAGGCGGAGGACCGGCCGGCGCGAGAGCCAGGTGGCACCTATCAGCTCGGATAAAATTCCCGACCCGCACGAGGACGAAGAGGAAATGCAATTTGAAGATGTGCTCGAGCATCCAGACGGATCCGATGGGGAAGCAGAGGTACCTATCAAACTTCTACAGACCGCCTACAGAGATTGTGACGAGGGATCCGAAGAGAGTGATGATGATTGGGTAGGCTTCAACTTGGACGACAAGCCAGGGCTCGATGAACCTAGCGGAGACCTCGAGTTGACTATTGCGAAGAAGCCGGCCACCCAGGAGAAATCAGCTGTATTTAGAAGGAGGTCGCTCACGAAATTTGACAAAGCTGATAGATTGGAGAAGCATAAGATGCATGTGTTGTGTCTTTTGTCGCATGTTCACCTCAGAAACGAGTGGTGTAATGACGCGGAGGCTCAGAGAACTCTCAGACAGCTTTTGGACAAGAAGATTTTGACGTTCCTGAAACCAAAGTCTGATTTGTCGCAGTTTGGACGGGCAGACTCGTTAAAAAGGGGGCTGGACCAGGTGGCGATCATGTGGAGGACCAAATGGAGCATCACCAAGAGAGGGCTGAGAAGAGCCTTGTGGGCAGACAACGAGGAGTATCTTCAAAATGTAAGATATCGAGACACTTCTAGGAGCTCAAGAGCTAATCTTAGTATAGTTCAAACCAGACGAAGCTGATTTGTTTGACAAAGCTGGGTTTCGTGAAGCGGCTAAGACGCTGAAAGGCTCAAGGGATCTCGGAGCCCAACTTTTCTGTGCCCTCCTTCGCAGTGCCGGGGTAGAGACTCGTCTCGTGTGCTCGCTTCAGCCATTGTCCTTCAACGCTGGCGGGCCAGCAATGGCTCCATACACTGCTCCACAAAAGACAGCAGCAGAAAGTAGCAGCGCCGAGACGCCAGTCGTTACCATGAGTGCCAATTTTCAGTTTGGCAGCCCAAATGCAGCTTACTCTTCTGCTCCCCGCCGCCGCCTCGGCCATCCCAACGCTGCCGCCTACCACATACCCGAAATAATCAACCCCGCTCGACCGCCAAAGCCGAAAGCGAAACCAATAGTCGAATCCGAATATCCCGTCTTCTGGGTCGAAGTCTTCGATGAAGCTCACCAGAAATGGTTTCCCGTGGACCCGCTAGTTACAGATTCCATCTCCAAGCCTCGAGCCTTCGAGCCCCCAGCGTCTGATCGCGAAAACAACATGTCGTACGTCATTGCATTCGAAGAGGACCATGTTGCTCGTGACGTTACAAGGAGGTACGCAAAAGCTTACAATGCCAAAACGAGGAGGAACCGAGTTGAGTCCACACCCAAAGGCGACAGGTGGTGGCACCGTGCGATGCAGCCTTTCGCGCGCGGCTGGATAAGCGACGCAGATCAAATTGAAGACACCGAGTTAGCAGCGGCGGAATCGAAAGAGCCCATGCCGAAGAACATCGCAGACTTCAAGGATCACCCTTACTACGCACTAGAACGGCACTTGAAGAGAAACGAGATACTGACCAGTACTCGCGAATGTGGAAAGGTGCATACAGGAAGAGACAGCAGTGTCCCTGGAGGTAAGAAACTCGAGCCCATCTACAGGAGAAAGGATGTCAAGATTGCAAAGAGCTCGGACGCGTGGTATCGACTCGGTAGAGAGATCAAGATGGGGGAACAGCCTATGAAGACGGTGCCTGCGAAACGGCGACCCGATGATCGAGATGACATGGGCGATGAGATCGAGGAGCGGCCAGGCATAAATCTGTATACCGAAGACCAGACTGAGCCGTACGTGCCGCCGCCGATCGTCAACGGGATGGTGCCGAAGAACTCGTTCGGCAACCTGGACGTCTTTGTGCCAAGCATGGTTCCGGACGGTGGAGTCCACATCGCAGGCACGTTTTTCCTTCGTCTCTTCCCTTCCCTTCCCTTTCCCTCTCATATCGTTTCCTCACACTGTACGTACGAAATCCACCTAACTTCGGTTTTTTTCTTTCCGTGCCACTAGACCCGGAAACCGCCCGCGCAGCCCGCCTCCTCGGGATCGACTACTCCGACGCCCTCATCGGCTTCGAGTTCCGCGGACGCCACGGCACCGGCGTCCTCCGCGGCGCCGTCGTCGCTAGCGAGTACCAGGAAGCCGTCGAGGCCGTCATTGCCGCGTACCGGGACGAGAGGGTGCAGGCTGAGGAGACGATGCGCACGAATGCGGCGCTGCGGATGTGGAAGCGGATGCTGCTCGCGCTGAGGATCAAGGAGAGGATAGACGCTTACGCTGGGGATGACGAGGAGCTGCCCTTGGCTGATGTACAGCGGGGTATGGATGAGGATGAGGTCGGCGATGGTGGTGAGGGGAAGAGCGAGAGCGACAGCGACAGCGATGAGTATGTTGATGATGGTGGGGGAGGGTTCTTCCTTGAGTAATAGAGAGAGAGAGAGAGAGAGAGAGAGGTCTTGATGAAGAGATATATCAATCATGGCGAATCCATCTGAATCAAGTCAAGTCCACGAGAAACAAATAAATACCTTGCATACGTAGTTCTAGTTCTAAGTCTAGGTCTAGGCAGGTTCTGGTGATCATGCTGCCTTCCGCCTGCTGCCTTTCAATGAACGCCTAACTAACAGAAATGTACAGTCTTTCTTTCTTCAATCGCATGGGAGGCTTTCTTTGGTGAAAGCGAAAGCGAAAGCTAATAAATAAATAAAAAACAACGGCTCCCCTTCCTCTTCGCCTTCTTTCTTCCTTCTAGATCAGCTGTTTAGTTACTTAGTCCTTTCGAGCCATAACATCATTTTACTTCATTTCATCGCGCAAGAAGAAAAAAAAAGGAAAAAAAAAAAAAAAAAAAAAGGAAAGGGCGCTATCAGCAATTTCAAAGTCAAAAAGTCATGAATCTAACATGTTTGCTTACTTTCTCTTCTCCATGCCGCTCGCTCCTTACAAATCATCCATCCCAATCCCATCAACCTGGCCCAAGAAATTTCCCTGCGCGCCCTTCAGCAAGCCATTGACGTCCACCGTGCCAGATGAAGTCAGGTACCTCTCGCTGACACCCACGTTGACCCTCTGCGCCAGCAGACCCTTCAGCTCCGCCTTGAGCGCGCCCACTTCCCCCTTGGTCATGGCCCGCGCCTCCTTCTCCTTCAGCTTCCGGCCCGTGCCCCTCCCCTTGCGCATGCCGCCCGCGTTCTCGAACTCCTCGCTGTCGTAGTCGACGCCCAGCTCGGCCGCCGCGGCCCGCACCCACTCGTCGTCGTGGCCCTTCTTCTCCTTGGCCAGCGTGCTGTCGGCGATCCTCTTGGCCAGCGTCACGCGCGGCTTGAGCCGCGCCACCACCTTGCGGTCGATGTCGAGCGAGCGCATGTAGTATTTCGATTTGCTGCCCCCGCCCGCGAGCGCGTTCTGCGCGTGCACTTTGGCCACTAGGCGGCGCATGCCGACGACTTCCTCGGGCGCGCACATCAGGATGCTGGTCCCGGAGGCCGAACCGCGGGCGGTACGGCCGGAGCGGTGCACGTACATGTCTGCGGCACGGGGGAGGTGGTAGTGGATGACGAGCTGGACACCCCCGATGTCGAGCCCGCGGGCTGCGACGTCGGTGGCGACGAGGATGCTGGAAGTTGATTTGGGGGAGGAGAAGCGCTCGATGGAGCGCATGCGGGCTTTCTGCGCCATTTGCGAGTGTAGGGCGTTAGCTTGCAGGTTGAGACCTTGCAGCAGAGGGGTGAGACGGCGCACGGAGTGGATGGAGTTGGTGAATATTAGGGTGCGTTGGTTGGGGTGGTAGAGGAGGAGGGAGTAGAGGTAGAGATCCTGTGAAAATTTAGCGAAATGAAGTTTGAAGAATGATTGAAGACAGGTACCTTCTCGGTTCCGGCGCATTCGACCATGCCTTCTTTTAGACCCTCAGCCATCTGAGAAATGGGATTGACGTCTACGAACTTTGGCTTGTCTTCGCGGAAGTTAAGTTTCTTGAGGAGGTATTCCATCGACTCGCTGTCGTCCATCAATCCTTGCTTCCCTTTTCCTGCGAGCTTTTGCTGAAGCCCTTTGTGGAACGTTGCCGAGAAGACCAAGGTCTGTCTTGTTGGAACGATCTCATCGTCTTCATCTGCATCTTGTTGCCTGTCCAGAGATCCGATGATCTGTTCTGCCTCTCTGAAGTGACCTTCGGTCAAGAGTCGGTCGGCTTCGTCGACGACCAAGAACTTGATCTTCTTGAATGCTGCTGTTAACTCTATACTCGAGCTCATCACTTCCCATAATCGGCCGGGAGTACCGATCACAATATCTGCTTTCGCAAGTTGACGTTGCTGCTTCTGGACGGATAATCCACCTGTAACAGCAGCTACGTATGGAGCACTTGGAAGTCCCTTACACAGGGCCGTGATATGCTCTGTCAACTGATGTGCCAATTCACGAGTGGGAGAAAGAATCAATGCGGTCGGCGGCCTGGAAGCTTTCAGTTCGTCCTCATCCAATTGTCCGTATGTCTCAATCCAGCTCTCAAGTATGGGTATTCCGAATGCCAACGTCTTTCCAGATCCTGTAGAAGCTTTCCCTACAACGTCATGTCCTGCCATAATCTCAGGTATAGCAGACGATTGGATTAAAGTTGGTTTTTGGAAGCCTAACTTTGAAAGAGCAGAGAGAGTATCGGGAGAGAGGTCTAGTTCTGTCCAGGCCGAAACATCTGTCTCTTCCTCGACAGCATCTTCCTCCAGCAATCTGAAAAGGTTGGTCTCGGGCTCCTCAGGTTCTGTTTGATCATCGTCCTTCGGCTGCGGCTTCTCTACCTTTTCCTTCTTTTTATTTTTCTTATCCTTCTCGGCTTTCTTCTCTTTCCTAGCTTTCTGGGTTTCCTTTTTCTCCCTGGTTTTATTTTTCTCCTTCAACGTTGGGACCTGATCTGCTGTCTTTGCGGTCTCGGGTTGAAATTTTGGAGCCTCTTTTCCAGGCTCATCGTCACCAAATCCTTCAAATACTTTGTCTTCCGTAAAAGTAGGGTTCACAGCAGTTACCTAATGATATAAGTCACAATTCAGGCATATTGATCTGTGGTACGTACAAACTTGACAGTATTCCCGTCGCGGACAACTTCCACCCCCTCGATCTCCTCGAGTCCAAAGAAGCCCTCCGCATCGTCGTACATATCCGGCATCTGCACTTCGTTCCATGGCAGCGCATCCAATGCGACTGGCCGCTTGACCAAGCTCTTTGGAGCAGCCGCGACGGCTTTCCCAGGCTCGATCTTTTGTCGCTTCTTCGATCGCTGGCTCGAATTTGGGGTGGGCCTTGCCCGCTTCTTCTGTTCTGGTGCCATACTGAATCTGCAAAGAAAACAAAGGTATCACAAGTCGATATCGGATTAAAGGGATTCCGATTTCTCGAATTTCTGCACCAATTTTTTTTCGAGGTGGGGTCCGATTTAGCGCGAGCAAGCTAGCCTCGCGCTAGAGAAAATTGAAGGTCTCAGCCTCGTTTTGTCCCTCATTCTCAAGCACCTCGATCTTTCAAACATGGGGAAGTCCTCAAAGGATAAGCGCGATGCTTACTACAGACTCGCAAAGGAGCAAGGATGGCGTGCACGAAGTGCTTTCAAGCTTCTCCAGCTTGATGAAGGTAAATTTACTCTCCAAAATTGACGGCATATACTAAACTGACATGGCAGAATTTGATCTTTTTGCCGATGTAACACGAGTTGTAGACCTCTGTGCTGCTCCTGGAAGCTGGAGTCAAGTCCTATCTCGTATCCTAATCAAAGGTGAAAAGTTCGGACGCGCAGCATGGGAAGACAAGCAAGAGAAAATACGCCAACTCCTTCTCGAAGGTACCGGAGCCGAGCCAACAATAGCTGAAATACAACAGAAAGAGGCAGAAGATAGGATGGAGAAGAAAGTGGCCCCAGAACTGAATTCTCGGAAGGACGTCAAGATTGTCGCCATAGATCTTCAGCCCATGAGTCCACTCGAAGGCATCATAACTCTCCGTGCTGACATCACACACCCTGCAACGGTACCTCTGCTCCTCCGCGCGCTTGATCCCTCCTATGATCCTTCGACCAAATCACAGCATGCCTCACATCCTGTCGACTTGGTCATCTCAGATGGTGCCCCGGATGTTACTGGACTACACGATCTTGATATCTACGTTCAATCTCAGCTGCTCTTTGCTGCTCTAAACTTAGCAATGTGCGTGCTACGGCCGGGTGGAAAATTTGTGGCAAAAATATTCAGAGGACGCAACGTGGACTTGCTGTTCGCCCAGCTGAAGCTTTTTTTCGAAGAAGTCATTGTTTCCAAGCCAAGGTCGAGTCGGGCGAGTAGTGTTGAAGCATTCATCGTGTGCTTGAACTTCAGCCCTCCTGAGGGTTTCAAAGCCAGTCTAAAGGAGCCTATGGGGGTTGGGAATAGACTGGCAAAGATGGTTGCCGCTGAAAATGAGCTCGAGCCTATCCTAGCCTCGACCCTTCTCCAGGATCCTGCAAAGGGGACATGGTCTGCCAGCAAAGCCGTATATTCGATCCCCAACAAGGACGGAATTGTTGAGATATCTCTCCCGGATTCTGAGTCGGAAGCCAAGAAGGATGGTAGATGGATTGCTCCATTCCTCGCTTGTGGAGATCTCTCGGGTTTCGATGCCGATGCATCTTATCATCTGTCGAAAGATCACGTATCTCTTGACCCAATACAGCCTCCCACGGCGCCCCCCTATAAACGTGCTCTCGAAATGAGAAAGACTATCGGGGGAGCTTACGGAAAGACCAGTATCTGATTGGACTCAAATTATGAACTTATACGTTGGCATAGCGTGGAGTTTGGAATCATCTTGCTAGGGCAGTTTGTTCATGGCGCAAAGGCCTCACAGGTGAACTTTCGTCGATTCAGATCGATACAGAAATCGATCGCTTTTATGATAAAATGCGAAGCTACACAAAAGCGAAAGTCATCTTGCATACCCGCCTATTTTGGGCAAAATTAGTCACCGTTTCATCTTATAGCTGTGCTATTTTGTTATAAGTTATGGTGAAGTCCAAGATTGTCTCATGTATTGTACTCTTGTGTATAACCAGAGGCCTCGCTGATAATTTTCAGACTGTGACCTGCGGAGAAAAGAGGGTTGCGCTTGGATGGTTGGAATGGGGGCCTACTTCAACGGCCTTATTGGTCTTTCCGTGCCTCTCTCGCTCTTCATTTGGCAATGGAATTTCTTTACGGTATTTCTGGCCTATTGTGACCAGATACTCGGAAATCACAGTTACTGAATTCCATATTCTGATGCCAGGTGAAAAGATCGAATCTCCCGCAACCTCTGTATCACATGACGCAAGCTATGCCCAATACCATGCACCATCGTGATGCAACCTTCAGTATTATTTTCCTACATCGTAAGAGCGCTAGATTTAGATAGCAACCATTTCCACCCCCATACCCCCTAATGCCGCCTCCATCATCCTCATCCTCATCCCCCTCCTCCTTATCCGCGTCCATCCCATCCCAGCCCGCCTCCTCGTTTTCACTCTCGCTGACCATCTCTACAAGTTCTACAAACTCCTTGTCCTCCGCCTCCGTCTCCACATTCAAATCTTATTCATTATCGTATCCGGGCCCAGGGATCCAGCCATCCTCCCCATCCAGCTCAAAAGCCTTCAACTGATCCTCTGGATATCCACCGGCCGAAAAGATACTGACGTGTTTGCAACCAAAATCGAGTAGACAAGCAAGATCAGAATCAGAAGGAGAACTTTCCTTCGGGTCGACTTCACCAGAAGCGGTTTCAAAGATTCACAAAATACTGTAAAACAGCATCTGTGATACTAGAGTGGGGGGAGGTTTCCTTTCCCCCCCCCCCCCCCCTTTTTTTTTCCTTTTTTTCCTTTTTTTTTATGGCTTCTCTTCTCTTTCGCTGACTGGCTCGCTGGTTTCTGAAAGGTGTTAGTTATTTGGTGACTTAGCATAAGGCCGTCCCTTTAATTTTCCACTTCTTCTTTTCGCTCGGCGGTCTATGCCGTCGATTTAAGCATTGAAGTCAATCCCATGCCATAGGTACCTTAGCGGAGCAAGCCGGGATTCTAGAACCGTGTAGCTGACCGTGTAGCAGCCTTAGGCCGTGTAGCTGACCGTGTAGCAGCCTTAGGCCGTGCAGTGACCGTGTAGAAATTTTAAACCGTGTAGAGACCGTTAGCGAGGGCCACAAGTACCTTAGTAAGGGCGGAGAGGTAGGTAACGTAAGCACCTCGTGACTTCAAGCACTTATAAGAATGGAACGGGAGTATTTCCTTATTAATTCTTCATTTCTATTTGTAAAGTTTGGATTTCACGGTCACGGCGATACGTCAATGTAGCCTCAAAGTTCAACGTTGTATTCTATGGGTATCTCTGGCAGTATAAGCAGAATTACTACGCTTCCAGCCCTGAACTCCTTCTCGATAAACAAATACAAAGCTGCTATTGAAAGTGATAGAAGCGAGCTGGAGTAGGAGACCCTCTCATTGTTTGAGAGTCTTCTTCCTCTTCGGCGCCTTGATAATTGTCTCCATCAAATCGAGGCTCGTCGTCCATAGCACCATCACTACCAAAGAGAAAACGAGCTGCCCCTTGAGGAGTACCGCCTCCAAGTTCAGCGCCAGCTCCACTAGTACCTCCTTGTTGACTGTTATCCACGAAAGGGTCGTCATCTTGAGCTTGACGCTTCTTCGAAGGAGGGGGGCGAGACAGTTTGACGTTCTCTGAGAGGATCTTCTGGTAATCAACCTTTACCGCTGGCTCCTTCTTGGCCTTATCTACAAAAGCAAAGTCGCTGACGTCCAGATCTTGGAAAGCTGAGTGCTTCGGAAGGGAGTCGTATATTTGCATCAGCTTAGTACGCAAATCGCCTTTGCCTTGACCTTCAACACCTCGCATCCACGCACGGGAGGCAACAGCCAAGTTGGAATAAACCGCTGAGATAGTAGTTAGCATCAGCTTAGATTCGTAACATCGGTCAACTTACTGCGGATAAAGTATTGGCCAAGTTCCTCAGACTTCTCCAAGCTGATTATGCCTTCAAGATAGTACCAGATGTGATGGAAAGTGGTTTGGTTCAAGAGAGAAAACAAACGATCTCTGAACTGGTCGTCATCAAGAGCCCAAACATCTGGCAAGGTATTTTCAATCTCCTTCATGTTCTCTTTCAGCTTCCTTAGCATCTCATGCTTTTGGGTACGGATATTGTCCTTGAATTTGGTCTTGCATGTATTGAAGACAGAATCCGTGTCCTTGAGGTCTTGGCCAAAGATTTTTCGGATTACATGAGGAGCAAAAAACCATGAATGGAACATGAAGCTATTGATTCGAACTTCTCGATCGAACTTACGAAGAAGACTTTTGTCATTATCCGCGAGATCAGAGTCACTTGCGATATCCTCATCAATGTCTCGGTTTGCAAGAGCCTCTTTTATCAAATTCTTGCGCGGACGTGATTTCTTTGCAAGCGGCGCTGACGGCTGTTGGAAATTGGCATAGCTGGGTTGGAGATCAGGCTGTGTAGATGTACCGGTAGTCGGGGTATTCGATGTACTTTCGGTAGCTCTTGGAGTATCGGCGAGCGACGACCGTGGAGTAGCAGTCGAGGGCAGAGCGCTTCTATGGCTAGGGGTAGCCGGAATGAAGGTAGCAGAACTTCTAGAAGCACCACCAGATGTTTCGCCTGAAAAGTTGCGGCCACTTTGGTTTCCGTGTAACAATGCGATCTGAGGATTAAAGGCTTGATCGACTAAACCACCGGCACTTTGTAGTCTAGGATCTATATTGGGCGAGAAGTTTGGGTTGCCGAAAGTTGGAAGACCGGAGTTACGAGCAGGTAGAGGACGGTTTTGTTGGCCTTGTTGGCCTTCTTGACTCATCGACTGATCATTCCTTGCAGGTGGATTGCTCATTGAAGACTGAGCGCCTTCTTGAATTCCACCTCGACCTTGGCCTCTTCCTCCTCTACCTCCTCGAGGCTCTCTAGCAGCTGCAGCTGCGTCGGCACGCTTCTTCGGGGCCATAGCAAGTATTCGAGGATGCGATTGATTGTGTAGCAAAAACAAGCGTGTAAGTACGGTCAAGAAGTTGGAAAGTGTAAAGTTCGAGGTTGATGAGGCTGAGCGATAAGGGACGGGAAGGATTAAAAGTGCGAGAGCGGCCGCCTCTAATGCGGAGCGGCCGCCTTGTGCGGGAGCGGCCGCTTCTAATGCGGAGCGGCCGCTTCTAATGCGGAGCGGCCGCTTCTTGTGCGGGAGCGGCCGCTTCTAGCGCGGGGCAAGCACCACGTTTTTTTTAGCGCGGGGTAAACCAAAGCTGAAGCTCACTGCTCCAACTTTACTGCCCCCACCTCAACCTCACTTCTTCAAATCAATAATATCACGATCTCTACTTTCCTAGCTCTTTAAACGGTTTTAATCTATCGGTAGCATTGTTTTCTCAACCTTTTCATTCCGTTTCATGTCGCAACTTTGCTAACTTATCACTTGCTTGCAGACTACGACCGTCAAAATGAAGTCTTTCAAAACCAGGTTCAGGGATACGAGACCAAACATTCCAAAGGTTCGCGGCATTGATGCTAGCGGTTCAGCAGACCTCGATATACCCTCCGAAGACTCTGATGAGCAGCCAGACTTTGGTGATGACTCTCAACCTCGCAAACGACGACGCGATTTTGAGATAAATGCCGGAGATGAAGACTACGAGGTTGGGCAAGCTCTCGAAGATGATGAAATTCTAGAGGATAACGGCATAAAAGATTTTGGTGACGCAGACGACTTGGTAAGCTCATATTACGTCTTCAAATGCGTATTTCTAACTTATACTTTCCAGCCTATACATCAATTAGCGCGATATGTGATAGAAGGAGACCATAACCTGGATACTGAGCTCCCTCTTGATATTGATCTCCAACAGATCCAGTTCGAAGATCAGTACCAAGACCCCGAGCCTGAAGAGCCTGCTGAAGATGTTATCGAGTCCGTCCAGTTCAATTGGCAAGAAGTTGACGATAATACCGCAGAAGCATCTGATGCACGCTCTTTAACCCTCGAGCCTCCTCAAACCCCACGTCGTAATGAATTCGAATTGCCAGCCTTAGACCCGAGCGATACGTCTGAGCTGATTGAGCACCGTCATTATTTTGACGAGAATATATCAGAGCTAAAGATGGGCTTCGGTATATTTGTGATGAATTCTGGAATGTCTAGCACGGAATACTCAGCGTTGCATCAATTGTTAAGCACATCTACCGATCCGGTATTCAGAAACCTTCCTGCCTCTATCAGCACACTCAAAAGGCATATTGAAAAGGCACTTCCACTCCTTCAGATACGCAAGAAGGAAATTCCACTTGTCTCCGAGAAGCTTGCTACAGAGACTGCTACTCGCAAAGCAGAAGGACAGGCCGACGATAATCCAAAAGAAGACCTTCATTTCCTAGACCCAGTCGACTTGTATGCTAGGTTTATAGCTTCAGATATTAGCAAGTCTCTCCACACCGGGTTGGCAGAGTTTGTTGATAACCCTGTGGAGCTATGGCAATCTCGCTGCTGGGCTTCTTCTGTTCGATCATCTTCAGGAGAGTATGCTCACTTTCCGGATGGTAACCAAGAGGCTGTCTTTCCTTCAGACTTTGTTGCTTACGTCTGCAACGATTCGAGCTGCACCGTATGCATTACTGGAGACGGTACTGGGCACCACAAAGGCAGAGTTCAAGCAGTCGGTCGTGATATGACCTCGGAAGCCGTGACTGCTGGCACCGACGGTCTCATCACTTTGGAGATCCGAGAAGTTTTTGACGCTAATGATTTGTTGAACATCGGAGTTGTCTTAGATCCGGTAATGAAACCTAACGAGCTCGTACAAATCTTCTCAGACGACCATCACGTTTACGTTACTGAGTCGCAAATTCTGGGATCTGGTCCAGTACCCGTAGAATTGGATTATGTCTTCGGCGAAAACGACCCACAGAAAATCTACTTCTTGGATACAGAAAGAGGCAATAATCCTAGGCAGGTCTTCATGCGTAGAATGATTGAGCTAAAGCATAACAAAGTGGTAAGCTATATCTTTATACCTTTGAAGTCCAGTTTTGATTTAGTAATGTTGCCTTAGGTTGAGCAGACCCCTCTCTGCTATACTGATCCTCTTCGTGCCGAGCTAGAGTTGTTTGAGTTTGGCAGAGGAACTTTTGTCAACGATTGGGACATAGCGAAAGGGAACGTCTGTGCTTCTATGCCAGTCCAAACTTTTATCGATGGCTTTGGACTTTACAGAAATTCCTACCGCTCTATTATGGGTAAGTGGTCCGCTATCCGTAGATCTAAGACTGATTTTTAAAACAGGCTTCTATCAAATTCCGGCTGGCTTGAATTCTAAGGACCGTACTCGGCGGGCGAATGTCTTGCCTATTACTTTAGGTCCCCACGGAAGCAACTTTGACGATGTTGTAGGAGCTTTGACACGACTGAAGCAGCTTGACGAAGGCGTAATGCTCGATATCAACGGAGTATATACTCGGATGTGCGTCTTTACTTTGTGCTACCTTGGAGATATGCCACAACAACAAGCAAACTCTGGCATGAACTCACAAAGAGCAACTCGTGGATGTCGTTTCTGCTTTATCGATGAAGAAAAGCGTGGCGATCTTGCTTACGACATCAAGGCCTTGGGCAGATATCATCACCAAGTCGTGTCGATGAGAAAGGAATTGATGTCTCGGAAGACACAGACTCAAAGAAATGCGTACGGCAAGATCTGGGGTATGCAAACAAACGATTCTCCGCTGACGGCTATCTCCCCGGCATTGGACATTGTCCTTACTCGTCCTGGTGACCCTGCTCACTCCGAGTATAACGGATTAGGGAGATTGATGCACGAGATGCTAATTGGGGGAATTTTGACTGTTCAAGGAGCTAAAGAATACGGTCGTACTCTTCGCCGATTTCCATTTCCTAAAGGGTGGGCCCGTCTCCAGTCTCCTCTTCATCATTTGAAGTCGTATAGCCTTTCGGACCACGCTCGTTGGAGTATCATTATCCCTGGCTTGCTTCGAGGCTGGTTGACGGAGAAACATATCCAGCCATTCTTCTTGAACGCCGCCAGAATCCATACTCAGGACACTGTTTCTTATATCGTGTCTTGCTATGCTGCTGCCGCTAAAAGCACAAGTTTATTGGTTTCGGATCGGATCGAAGATCTAGATGATCGTGAAAATCTTCATGCGATTATCCTTCGAGCTCGCCAATGCTTCCAACAGCTGTGCACAGATGCTGCTGGTGGAGTACAAGAAAACCCAAGGAGAGGTTCTGTCGCTGATAGAAGAAGTCGATCCCAAACACCATCCTCGGTTATTCCTCCTCCCGTTGCTAATACTCAGAGCTCCTCGGCGACTCCTGATACTGAGACTCCTGGCTTGATGGGCCCACCAGCCGCTATCCAACCAGCTATGGATAAGAAGTTGACACTTCAGTACCGTTCAGATGCGAAGCGTCCAAATATCCATACAGCTCTCCATTACACGAGGATGATGTGGGAGTATGGCCTTCCAGGCAATGTCGCAACCTTGATCGGCGAAGATAAGCACCGGTATGTATTCCCTTTTGGTTTTATATTATGAGCGTACTTCGCTGATGTTTGCTAGATTGTTTAAGGCTTTGGTATATAGTACCAATCATATCAATGTCGAGAAGGCCTTGTTGAAGAAAGAGGCTTGGAAGTTGACCCTACGCTTGATTATTATGAACGCTTATCAAGTGACTGATCCGGGGTTGACTCAAATGATCCAAAGTCTTTATCGGTCATGTCCATTGTTATTCGCAAGCTTCATGCCACGCTCTGAAATCGAAGACATCCTGGCAGCTGAAATTGTTGACGAGGCTGATGACGATGAGCCAACAGTTGAGCTCCAGGCTGATAGCTCTCACCTTCGGCCCTCCGCGATCGGTTGCTTGCCACCTAGATACGTCCGAGACACTCTTGGCTTCCCTTTGCGGCCTAGAGAGATGGACGCTGTTTTTAAGACGGCTTTCACACGTGCTTACAACGAATATTACAGCAGCCCTGAAGTCTTGCATTACGGGAAAGTTAGTTTGCAATGGGTCAAGAAGATCAGCTTCACTGATAAGTACGTTTTCCCTCGACAGAATTCCTTTAAACTCGCACATCCTCCCTTTCACTCTCTTCTCTATAACTCCCTTTTTTTTCTATTCAATTTTCTCGAGAATCGGTCGAGATATCAATTATTTATTTGTTACGATTCTGTTTATGTCATCTTTCTTTACTCTCTTATTGGCTTTTAGTCATGATTTATCAGCTGCACTAGTACTCCGGAAGCTCACACTTCCGTGGGGCTGTGTTTTTCTTGCTTTCTTATTGCTCACTACCTCTCCACTTGCTACACCGCTAACTTCAAGCATTCCTTAGGGCCTCGCAACGTCGTATCGTATTCGCAGCTGGTGACTTTATCGAGTATACGAATCCGACCACAAGGGCCAATCAATTTGCGCGTATAGAGGGTCTATTTGTTCACCAACTCTTTAGTACCAGATCAATCTTTTTACGAATTCGCCCCGTCACGGTGTCACCTGAGCGGGATATCCTGCTCGACCTCCCTCAGCTGACCTTGAGGGATTCTTACGATCTTATTGGCCTTCCTGGCGTTGGGGCACGCAAGATGTATGTGATTGAGGTTGAAGGCTCACTCATCTGGGTGACTTGGACCACAATTGTATTCTTATAAGCCAAGTAAGTCGTGAAATACGTGCTACTCACTCTGATTGTTATACTGACTTTTGGAATTACAGTTCTCACTTTTGTTACTCTTTTACTACCGCGACTTGCTACATTGGGGCATGAAAGATCAGTTCTGAATGATTTGGAAAGGGCAGAACTGCGTACATGGGTATGAATGGAAGGACGTACTTTGGCGCGCATGGTCTTACTCTGTAAGCGCTCGTCGATGGCAGAGGTGGAGGTGGAGGTGGAGGTGGAGGTGGAGGTGGAGGTGGAGGTGGAGGTGGAGGTAGAGGTGGAGGTGGAGGTGGTAGTAAATAGCCCTCACCAATTGAATTCAGACTAGCCTCCATTGGATGTGGTGGCTTGGCGCACAGCCACACCAGTGACCCCGCCCGGATTAACCCCCTGGGCGCAGCCCTCGCTTAACTCCTTCTACACGGTCTAAAAATATCTACACGGTCTAAAAATATCTACACGGTCTAAAATTTCTACACGGTTGAAAATCTCTACACGGTTTAAAAATTTTACACGTTTGAAATTTCTACACGGTTTAAATCTATACACGGTTTAAAATTTATCAACCGAGCTGTTTTGAAGGATAGTGGCCAACCGTGTAGACCTGCTACACGGTTCGCTACACGGTTCTAGAATCCCGGCTTGCTCCGCTAAGGTAGGTAGCGGCTGCTGGCGAAGAACCTGAAAGCTTAAATCACAAAATAAAGAACGATCGGCATACCTACATACACCCATTCCTCCTTTTGTGTCCAATCAGAAAAGAGCGGCCCCGCCTATGTAGTTGAATTTTTCGATATACAAAATTACAGGCGTAAGTGTTACACCCCAAGGGTACCCAGGGTTACCAGGGGGTTGTGGTAGAGATTTATACCTTTAGGCCCTCCTCAGGTTGTAACACTTACGCTTGTACTACCTATCCTTCCCATGAATAAAGGGCAGCATCTTAAGGGAGGCACGAGCCAAAATACAGCAGAAGTCTATTCCTGCTACCCATGGGGTTTTGCCTTTTATATACGGAGGATAGTAGTGAGGTAAATACAGGTACGCTTCTATCAAATTCACTTCCCCAGACAACAACAACACCAAACACCATCTTCAATCCAATTCCTTCGCTACCAATAAGGTACGAACCTTATTTAATCAACATGCTAAGCACTCCTCAGAAACAACAAAATCTTAACAATGTCACTAGACAGAACCTCGAAAGTCGAACCTAGAATCTTCTTTGAAAGTTCGGTTGTAAAACCAAGAGGTCTCCCAACCCCCAGCCGCCCCAGGTCCAAAAGCGTTTCCCAAAAGAGGAACAATACCCTTCTTACTGAGCGGCTCAGCGAACGAAGCAGCTCCCTTGTCTTGTTTCACGACGGCGACACCACCTGGGGTCCCTCTCCGCCCTACCCTCACAGCCAGCCCACACCTTTCCCAGGCCACATCCTAAAATTCCTGGAAACATGGCGAAAGTCTGCATACACCCTCGAGAGAGACTTCTTATGTCATGGTAACCCGCCACAGGTGAAAATCAGCACCCGCAACGCCGCCGAGCAGGAAAAACAGAATGAGCGAGTCAAGTCCAAGAGAAAACGCCGTATGCAGAGACGTTCTGCCCATTCTGGTTGGACTAGAAGCGGTGGGAATGGCTGGGCTTCGAGGATTACTGGTGTCACATCATCTGCAGTCTCGGGATTTAGGTCCCAATTTTGGTCATCTCTAGATTACAAACAAGCTGCTGGCGGAAGATAGGGGTGGTGGATATCTGCATCTGAACGTGCAACGGACCCCGTTTTGCCATGATGCCACCGACTTGATATTTAGGCGAGTGGTCGTTTCCACTTCATAAAAGGCTACGAAAGAAGAAGACCACATGGTCAGCGCTGATTTGCGCGACGAGGGATGGAATGCACGTACGATACAAAGACGTGAAGCTCGAGCTTGAACATGGAGAATTATCATCTGGAACTAGCTAAGCAAGCCTGAACTTCCTGAGAAACTTCATATTCAAGGGTGGTCGAATGGTCACTTACTGTTAGATGTGTCAATTCTCGATGGTTCAACGGTAACTGCTCTTTCAGCAATGCAATTAGACAGTGGTATAACTCTTCAAATCAAATGATGGATGCCCTAATCCATCCAGGAACTCTGATGTTCAAGGACCCTGGCTTATACTACGAGCGATGACAGCCAAAAGACAGCCTCGAAGATGCTCTCAATCTGACATGTGTATCATCGGTGCCACTGGGGCTACAGGCACTTCTTGGGTTTGAAAACAAATCCGAGCCGGTTCGACAAGCTGAAACTTCTCAGGGCCATCATATTCACTAATTTCCGGTGATGAGAAGCTGCCTGTGGGCTCTCGATAATAGCCGTGACTTGCCATACCAGTCAGCGCGGAAATGCTGTCTTGCCGCATTTGCTCATCCCCGCTCGCAAGTCGTGCGCGATGTTCAGCTTCCCTCTTGGCGGCTTGGGATGGCGCTCGCGTCTTCAACTCTCCTGTGACACATTGAAGGTAATAAGGAACCTCAATGCCACTCTTTAGGAAAAATAGCTTGAGGTTCCTAGCCTTGTCCTTGAGCTGGACTTGGTTTCGGTCTTTGAGAATATCATTGATTGTCCCTTTTTGCCCGTATATGGCGAGAATCTGGCTCCAGTGCGGTCCCTTGACCTGGTCAAGACCAGCCATCAGAGTGTTTTCCTCCTCAGTGGACCAAGGTCGTCTTTGGCTAGGGGCTCCAGGACGTCGCGCACTTACGTTACCCGCTTTGGTACTCGCAGCCGCTTGGCGAGCCTTCTCATACAGCTCTTGAGTTGGCGCACTTTGGGTCGGGTACGGGACTTTCTGAATGGTATTCGAGGTATGGTACGGGCTGTGTTGAGAACTTTTTTGCGTTTCCACTGCTATTACACGTTATTAGGATTACTTCGAAATGTCGAGAGGATTGGCTGTCGTACCTTGGCTTTCGCTAGTGTATCCCAATGCTCTCAAAACTTCGTCCGCCGCTTGCTGTGCATGAACAGAGATATCTTGGTCAAGTGAACTTGCTGCGCCATTGATATTCTGATATTTATATGCTGGACTACAGTGTTTCCCAAGATCGTTGGGGTCTGGAGTCGGCCGAGGCGACACAGGTGTTGTGAGAGCATGGCGTTTCATGTAGGGGGCGAGAAGAGGTTCATAATTATTTTTCAAGTAAGTACTGACATCGGTCAAGAATCCCTCCCAGCCAAACTTCTCCGATAGTACCTCTGTATACGTCAGCAAAATCTCAGTTGGCGGCGCAGGGGGTTAGCTTACGTATAGACTCCACATCAGTATGCTCTTTTATCAAGAATTCTCGGCGATGATTGACTAAGTCGATTAACTCGAGCTCATCCTTTGAAAGAGGAGTATCTGGATGCCTGTTTCTCAACACATCCTCAAAGTCGAATGGAAACATGTCTTCGAGAATATCTTCCTTTGTCTCATTCTCCCGCTGCTCTTCTGATGCAATCCTTGATAAGTACATCTGGGTCTTGAGGTTTACGAGAAGTTCGCCTGGCTCCTTCTCTAGACAGGCACCATCAGGGGTGACTATGTCAATAAAGGAGGAGCTGAGTTCGTAGAACCCTGCGGAAGATGCAAATACAGCTGCAGAAAAAGAAGCAAGATTTGTAGTTCGAATAGTGGCTCTATGCTCCGGCTCTTTGATGTTGAGTTCGTCTGCAGATAGAAATAATCCATCCTTGGAATATATCTGTTTGGTCTGGTCAAAGAGTGATTTTAGCGTAGCGTAGGCTTGACCGAGCTCAGAGTCTGGATCCTGCACAATCCTGACAGTGTCGATATACGGTCCTTGTGCTAATGTCGCCAATATCTGGGTGGACTGCACGGAGGTCAGTGTAAGTTCGTATATAGCTTAAAGTGGCTTTCTTTCTCACCAGACTCTCTAATATAGGAAGGCTGAAGATCCGCATATAAAGGTATGGGTCTGATATAAAGCCATTACCATTAGGGACACTTGTTTCATGGTTGGTCGTTTGAGTACAATTGGGTGTAATAGAAGATTCGGCCAGAAACGGGTGCAGGACATCTTCTGAACCTTGGACAGCCATGTTTGTGATGCTTAAGGATGAGGTATCGGACGTATTTTCATTCTCTATTGTGGGAACAAGGTCGACCCTCTGTCGTTTGTCTGCTCCACCTTGGTCATGATCAGATCGGTGGCGTTTGAGGAGGCAGGATTCTGGGTAGTCGAAGGACGGGGGGTAATCCAGGGCCTCATTTTTGATGGGGATATCTGCGCATAGTATTAGCAAAAAAGATCAGGATGAATCAAAAGCTCATTATTCTTCTGATTCTTCCAATACATAGCAATTCCAAACAGGGCCTGGAGCTGGAATGGGTATAGTACAATTGGGAGTAGACTCACCGGCTTCCTCTCCGGGGGATTGCATGATGGATGTTATGACTGGCAAGGGGAAGGGAGTTCTGGGCTGGCGAGTCGGAGATATTCGCAGAGCCTAAGTCGATCACAGCATAAGAGTCTCATCTGCCTGGCTCACAACAAACTGTGAACAAAAGAAGCGGCGGGACAGAGGCAGAGGCAGAGGCAGGGCGCTGTCGTCTCGTCCCACTTTTTAACACAAGCCCTGCTTATCGCGCCCTTATCTGTGCCCTAACCCTAACAACTGATTTTTAATGAATTTTGTATTTTAATTTGCTCCCCACCGTACGGAGTAGAGTAATCCATATGGGTACTTCTGCACTGGGAGATAAATATCTAAGTATAATCGTACCTCTGGTCAGAGTACAAGTCAGAGGCAGGATTGCTGTTCCTGGTACTACTCAGCAATACGGTCAATCTTCAGCGATACGGTCAGTTTTTCCATGATTTTTCTTCTATACGCGATTGATCAACAACACTCAAGTTGAATTTAATGCCGATACGGAACATAGAATCGCTATTGCTATCGCTTTCAAAATATACCATCTTTATATTAAGCCGAGTATAATTGCCGCTACATCCGTCATCTTTCTTCGACAAGTCAACGCTATATTTAAAGGCCGAAATCATAGGTTATAAGTAGAGGCTTGAAAAAAGCATTATCATGTATACAAAACGCAAGCTCACATAATATACATCCTTTTTTAATAAATATTAATCATCGAGTAAGAAGTAGTATGTGTGCTATAATTAACTAGGAATGATGCATTGCGCGGCTATTATTTTAATGAAGATGCGAGGCGTAAGTTGGTCGATGCATTTAAAAAGTACCGAATCTGACCTATTTGCAAGAACCGATCGATTCATTATTACGTTAAGCTATCGAAAATAGAAAGCAATATAGCATCGAAGCTAACGACTACGATTTCTTAGAAGGTTACATATGATTACTTATGATTGCAAAGTTCTTCAATTGTTTCTATGGTGCAGGGTTATTTGTAAGTCGCCGGCGAGGCTAGAACACTAATATAATTGCGTTACGAAACTCCATTGACTTTCGGTTTTTTTTCTAAAGTAAGTCCGATATCAAAGTATAGTATAATATTATAATATTAAATTTTCATATCAGAAAGTACGTTGGAAATGTACATTGCAATAAAAAGGGCTTGAAAGTTGACCGTATTGCTGAAAAGTACTAGGAACCGCAATCCTGCCTCTGACTTGTACTCCGACCAAGGGTACGATTATTTGGATCAATTTACTTCCGACTGAGTAGGAGAAAAAAACCTTTTATTTTAGTTTCAAAGATAATCTGCGTAGATTGAACATCTGTATTGACCCCAAGGTTTCCATTCGCGCCAGAATTTTGCTATCTACTCCTCAAGCAAGTAACCACCCAGCCGAACTCCATAAATGCATAACATCATTACACATTGTCGCGAAACTCTCAAGCCGATAGCTGCTCATCACCCTTCACTGTCGGCACTCGTGTCAACACATCGAAGGCGCCCGTTCCGACCTTACTCGTTCTCCCAATAACAATCCTGGAACTTGGACTGGACAAATCATCCCAGTCGCCATCAATGACTGCATCCGCCAAGAAATCCACAGTAGTCTCAAAACTCATCTTCATAAACGGACTGACGCTGCCCCTGAGACCGTTTCTGTTGAAGGGACTGAAGCCGCCACCTCTCGTCATAAAATCGGCTATCAGATTCAAGTGTCTGTGGTCGACGCTGATCCCATGACCACCGAAAACACCCGAGAGTTCTTGGACGATAGCAGCCCGGCAGGCTTCCACACCGTAGATTGTGAGAATTGCTGCAATATCGTTGGTGGAGATCGTATTGGGATTGATGAACTGCTGGTATTCGTGCATGGCCTGGAGGTTGACACCTGTAGTGTGGACGACTGGAACCCTGATTTTTTTGCCATTGGCAGGATCGAGCACCTCTTCATCAGGTACAAAGGTACACGATCCTAGGCCCTGGATATTTTGGATAAGAGTCTGTCGGAGCGCATCCTCGACGACAGACAGCATAAGAACCTTCTTGACATCGGCCTGGTACTCGAGGGTCAAGTCGCACCACTCTCCTTTCTCCTCATCGAAACGGAAATTGGTGATGTCGGTGCATTTCTTCATTACACGAGCCTGGCGCTCGTCCGCATCTTCAGATTCGGTCTCTATCGGCTTGTTCTTTCCCTTGTTATCGGTAACTTCGTCCTCCAATTCATTATCCGTGTCGTCCTCCACGCCGTCCTCCTTCTCGTTCTCGGTGTCGTCATCCGATTCTTCTTCTGCCTCAGCTTCCTTTCGCATTTGAGCCTGCACTTTGTCGTCGTCCCCATCGTTCGCTGCATAACTCACTGCTTGTGAGCGATTGCCTCTCTGTTCGTCTTTTGTGGTTTCGTCTCTCTCATCATCACTTTCATCCTCGTTGTCTTCCCCCTCCGCGTCAGGCTTTGCCATCTCAATGCTTCTTACTGGCTTTCCAATATTGAGGGCCGCAAGTGTGGCTTTGATGTCTCTCTTTCCCCCAAGAGCTTTGCGACTAAATTTTTGAAGTCTAACCGCAAACTTCTTCTCCAAAGCACTCAAAACATCTGCAATCGAAATTGCGTAAGTCTCAGTGTATTCTTTGGAGGGGAAAAGCTTGATATGGATGTCAAATATCTTAGCCTGTGAATATGCTACCCCACGACCGATGCGCTCTTTCACGGTTGCCTCGTCCACGACGGCAGCCAGGGAGAGTTCGCTGATACCCTTCGCAAATATCTCTCCTTCGTCGTGTGAAAGTTCCGAATTGAGTCGAAGCGTCATTGATGGTGTTGAGATGTGATTGCTTGCTGTCATGACAATTTCTCTAAGACGAGGAATACCCAGAGTGACGTTCTTGGCCGAGTGACCCGCCAAATGGAAGGTATTGAGCGTCATCTGTGTCGAAGGCTCTCCAATTGACTGGCCCGCGACGATACCAACAGCTTCACCAGGTTCAGCAACAGACTTCAGGTACTTGGCGACCAAGACAGCCTCGAGTGCTTTCCGGACGCCAACTCCGGCGGGATTCTCCTTGGTCTTTACCATTGCATCGGGATCGGTCTTCAAATATTGTGTCAGGGCATCAAAGAACTTCTCTGACGTAGCGTAACCGTACTTGCCAGGATTGTAATCAGCAAGTACCGGGTCCGGACCATTGGGGTTATTGGCATTGGCGTGCTTCAGGGCCTTCTTCATTCGTTTCAATATGGCCTCCTTGTCGTTGAAGATAGTGTCATATCGTTCGTCACCGTAGTTCAACTGAGAGAGCTCCGATTCCAAATTCTGCAGCAGAAACTTGAAATCCATCAAGTGCTTCTGTTTCGTTACATCTAGACCATCTTCACCGTACAAGAACTGAACCATTGAGCCGTCAGAGTCTCGCACTGAAGTATCGTACTCGACCTTGAGACCCTCCATCCCCTTGATAAGACATCTCTGCAGATATCCTGATCTGGATGTCTTGACAGCGGTATCGATCAATCCTTCCCTTCCGGCCATGGCGTGGAAATAGAACTCCTGCGGTCGGATTCCTGTCAGAAAACGATTGACGATATACCCTCCGGCTCTCATGTGGGTTTCAAAAGGTCTGAAACACGGTAGTGATTTACCGCTGACCATAATCGGTACCCGACGTCCTTCCAGAACTTGTTGGCCAAGATTGCAAGAAATGAGGTTTGCGTTGACGGCTGATCCCTTGGCTCCAGATACAGTCATATTCTGCATTTGATTCTTAGGGAACTGCTTGACTAGACCAGCAGGGAGACAGGCCGCAGTAATTGCAGAGGAAAGTTCTCCGGATCTCTTGTTCATCATGATGTCAAGGCCTTGCTGTTTCGTATCATCTCTCATGACAACCTCCAACCGGTTGAGAAGTTCTGGGTCGGTATCGGTACGGTTGTCTGCGCTGAGGGTGACGTATTTTGCAGCAACCTTGAGACCAAGATCTTTGGCAGCAGCCAATTCCTTCCGGCGCATCTCTTCACCTTGTGCGGTCAAACGTAGGTCATCAACTCCGCATGTGAAGGCCCTCATGTGCAAGAATTTAGTGAGAAGGCGACCCAAGGCACTCAAAAGCTTCCCGGCCGCAGTCGGACCATATGCCTCGTGAATTGCATGAACAAAGCCTCCACTGCTCGGACCGATCTGAGATTTATCGAGAATACCGGTGATAAACTCCCCTCCCTTGATGAGAACCACACCTTCCTCAGAATTCTTACCCCATCGATCGGCTGGAGTTTGCGATTTTCCGGTAAGCGTGAGAGGTCCACAGTCAATGGGCTTGATGTTTTTCAAAATCGTCGTAATTACCTGCTTTCCGGTCCAGCGAGGGAACGGCTTGATGATTGCCGGCGGAACGGTCTCTATGCGGTCACTTACAATGTGGCCACTCTCGGGACGGAGACAATTGTAAATAAGTTGCTGATACGTTGCACGGTCGAAAAACGTGTCTCGGTTGCACATCCAAACAGACACGGAAATGTGATCTTGAATGAGACCTCTGAGTGGTTTTCCAGATGTTGCGACAAGGTATTGATGGTCAGTATCCGCAATTTGGAGTGCTTCTGCTCTGGCAAGCTCCGTCTGAGGGAAATGCATGTTCATTTCATCTCCGTCGAAATCTGCATTGTAGGTGTTACAGTTCGCGTAGTGCATACGGAGCGTCTTTTCGCCGGGGAGAACTCTGGCTCGATGGCCCATGATAGACGGCTTGTGCAGAGTCGGTTGTCGATTCATGAGAACAACATCGCCATTTGTGAGATGCCGATGGACTTTCTTGTTTCTGGCACCATTCGCACTGCTGCTGGAAGAAGCAAGCAGTTGGTTTGCCAAAGCTAGTCGTTCGTCTTGGCTTTTTGTTCGCAGATTGATGACTTGGCCGTTCTCGTTCTCGATGGCGGCGGCACCCGGCCATATGTCGACACCATTGATCACTGCCTGTTGCATGTCCTTGAAGTTGTGGCTGGTCACTGGCTCTGGGTAGGTCAATTTTTTTGCGAAGACAGGGGGTACGCCAATCTCGTTTGTCTCGATGTTGGGGTCCGGAGAGATAACACTGCGGGCAGCAAAGTTGACTCGCTTCCCCATCATGTTCTTCCGAAATAGACCTTCTTTCTTTTCCAGCTTTTGCTTGATACCGTCCTCGTTCTTCTGACCTGCCACGCCCTGAACTGGATTTCGGTCTCTATCAATCAATGAATTTACGACATCTTGAAGCTGGCACCAAGCTTCTTGAAGATCGTAAAAGTCTCTCGGCCTGTAGGGCGAGTCCTCTTGCGCGTCCTGCTTGTGAATAGCCTGGTAGATCTCGGCAACTCTCTCACAGCTCTTGAGAATGTCCTTGTAAAGCCTGTTCTGTGGTGCCTCGGCAACCTCATCATCACCAGTATGCGCTTCTGGACGGAATTTGTTCGGGGGGACCATGAGAGTCTGCAGGAAGAACATATCCGCCGTTACGGGGGTCGCATTTTTCGTAGTTGAGCGCGAATCATAAACCAGAGACAAGATATCCTGTTCCTTGTCGAATAGCAGTGTGAGTCGTGCGCGCACCTCTATAGCGTTGATATACTTGTCAGACGGTTTTGCGACCTTCGAATCTGACTTGGCTGTCGTCCCTGAAGCCTCGCCCATTACAACATCCCCATCAACGTCTAGAGAATCTCCATCGCCCTCGTCGTCCTCATTTGACGACAGGTCAATATCGGCAATGCCTTCGTCAATGTCGCCGTTATCTTTCTTCCCCGCCTGCAGTTCTTGTACCGCATTGACTGCTTTAAAGTTGCCCTGTGATACCTTGGCCTTGTCTTTCAAAGACATGCCCTTCTCGAAAATCTTGACATATCGGTCCTTTCGAAACTTGGGCGATATACCACTGCAATTCCCACAGTTCGCACCAGCACCAACGTTCTTTAAAAAGGTTTTGATGACCATTCGTCGAGCTTCCGCAACACCTTCATTTTTTTCCCTCCTCCACTCCCATGGCGAAGCTTTTGCGGCTTTTATTGAGCTCTTCACAAAGGCGTTCCTCTGGCGTATGACGTTATCGGCCGCTGACTCTTCTTCCTCTGTTTCGCTGCCGCTAGCCTGAGCTTCGGTTTCTCTGGATGTCGAAACCTCAATGTTGTCTACCTCCTCGGCGGGTCCCAGCAATCCGTGTTGGATCAATCGAAGTTTGCAAATATACCGATTGACTTCTTTGCGAGACATCTTGAAGTAGTTGCAATAGGCGCATTTTGCTCGTAACAATCGCAGAAGTTGATCCATAAATATCGGGTGGTATACAGGTACTGGCAACTCGATATGGCCGACATGGCCAGGGCATGCAAAGGTGTTGAGGTTACATGTTGTACAGCTTGAAATGTATTAGTATAGCGACCATCTTTTGAAAGTTTGAAGGCCTACAAGTGATCGCCCCATGCCCCAAGAGCTGGATCATACAATCCCCCGGGAACTGGATGTAGTAGTGTGTCGAATGTCTGAGGATTTTCTATTCTTCTGACCGAAAGGGCTCTGATCTCCGCGGCACCGAGAAACCCAAAATCGACGCTCTCAATGGCGGACGGAACTGGCTGAGAGATATTCATGTTGGCGAGGTCTGACGCCGCAGCACCATGAGTACAGAGTCTCGAGCGAGAGATCAAGAGTTCAAAGATTCAAAATGCGACTCGACATGCGCCCCGTCGTTAATTTGACTTGCGAAAAAAAAAAAAGTTCCTGGTACAAGGTCGGAGCTCGGCGAAACCTTTTATCGGGGAAACGCCAAACCCGCTTTGCAGCTAATAGTCATTGCACTGCCAGTTAACCTGCGTGCTCGACAATTACTATTACAACAAACTTGGAGCAGTAGCCACGAGAACTGAAAGAGCCAGGCGCAAGGCAACAACTGTGACTACAGATCCCCTCACTCTTTGAGACCTCCCAGACTCGCCCAAACGCCGCACTGGAAAGTGAAATCGAGATGGATCGCGGCAAAGCCTCCCCCATTCTGGCTCCCCGGAGAGATGCGTCCAGCCGAGTGGAGAAACCCCAGAGTGCGGCAGAGAAATTGGCGTCGCTGAAGGCCAGAGTCGCAGCAGCAGTCGGCAGCAGCAAAGCGAAGGCAGGGGTCGGTTTATCCTCTCTTCCTACTACTACGGTGGCTCGAGGTGGTTTGAATGTCGATCTACATCCCGCCCTCCAGGACCTCGGACAGTATAAACCCTCGAAGAATATTGCGCCGAAATTCGCGACCAGCTTGGGGAACTCCCGTCCGAAAGCTGAGAAGCCTGCTCCCAAAAAGCAGCTGGATCTGTCTGGGCCCTCGGCGGAGGAGACGCGCAACAATCCGTATTTCGATATCAGTCTTGGGGGGCAGACAGCGACTTTGAAGAGCAGGCACTCGAGACAGTTGGTCTTTAATCAGAAGGGAAAATACATACAACAAGCAAATGCTCTACGGAAACAGGCTGCTCTCGAGGCGCTGAAGAAGCGGATCGCAGAGAACTCGAGAAAGATTGGCATAGACGAAGACCTAGACACAGAGAAGAATTACCTAGTCCAAGCGCCTCCAAGCATCGAGTGGTGGGACGAAGGGTTAGTAAACGGGGAGAATTACGACAAAATCGATAGCCCGAATGGTCTCAAGATTGATACGGTGGACTCCATCATCACGGAATATATTCAACATCCTGTCCTGCTGGAACCGCCACAAGAAAAGAACATGCCGGCTCCCAAGCCCCAGTTCCTCACCCCTAAAGAACAGGCCAAACTACGACGTCAAAGGAGAATGGCAGAGTTGAAGGAGCAGCAGGCCAAGATCCGCCTCGGTCTGGAGCCCGCGCCCCCACCAAAAGTCAAGAAAGGGAATCTCATGCGCGTACTGGGCGAGGAAGCCGTGAAGGATCCAACGGCAGTCGAGGCCCGAGTCAACCGAGAAATCGACGCCAGGCTCCAAACACACTTGGAGATGAACGAGGAGCGCAAGCTCACGAAAGAGCAGCGCCACGAGAAACTCGCCAAGAACCAGGAGAACGACGCCTCCAAGGGCATCCACCTCATGGTCTTCAAAATCGACAACCTGGCCAACGGCAGCCACCGCTACAAGATCGGCATCAACGCCGACCAGATGGCCCTCACCGGCATCTGCGTCATGCACCCGCGCTTCAACCTCGTCATCGTCGAGGGCGGCGAGCACAGTATCAAAAAGTACCGCAAGCTCATGATGCAGCGCATCGACTGGACCGAGAACTCGCCGACGCGAGCCAAGGAGGGCGGCAAGGCGGAAGAGCTGCAGGACTGGCTGAAGGCGGAGGACGAGAAGGGGGAGCTGAAGGACCTGAAGCTGAACAAGTGCGTCTTGATCTTCGAGGGCGAGACCAAGAGCAGGGCCTTCCGGAATTTCAAGAGTAAGCCGTGTGAGACGGATAGTGCTGCTCGGGAGGCCCTGGGACGGGCGAAGATGGAGAACTTTTGGGCCCAGGCGAAGAGCATCAAGTAGGGAGTGAGTAAATAATATGGTGGTAAGTTATGTTGGTTCTACAGCTGCTGCATATCCAGCCGCGAGCGCTACTTTCGAGGAAGATTGGAAGATTAAATGGAACGTATGCCTGCCTGCCTGTTGTACAAGTTTGCATTCTGATATCCGAATCTGACGCGCAAGTCTAATATTGTCAATTTTACGCTCCCAGCGCCCCTCAAATAAGTGAAGAAAGAACCGCCCCCCCCCTTCTCCCTGAAGTGACCGATCAATTCGCACCCATCGCCATCAAAGCATCTTCATCGTCCTCGTCGAACCCATACTGATCAGGCTCACCCCCCCTCCGATTCCCATTCCCCAGCCCGCCCATCTCATCATCATCATCCTCCCCATCATCCACCCCACCCCTCCCACCCTCCACAGCCCTCCGCTCCTCTTCCCGCAGCAGGCGAATATTCTCCTCGTCCACCTTCTCCCGATGGGCCTCCAGATCCTCGAGGCTCCACGTACTGATGCCCTCCTGGTCGCTCGCCTGGAACGGCTGCGCCATGCCGCGCAGGAACTTCTTGGCAGTCCCGACGGCCGTGTCGGTGCTGAGGTTGACCTCGGCCTCGTGCATGGCGTCGTCGATCCACTTGGGCAGCTGGTTCCGCTTCTTGAGGAAGCGGCGGTCGGCGAGCACCATGATGCCGTAGTCGTCCTTGCCGCGCAGGACGCGGCCCAGGCACTGCGCGGCGTGGCGCATGGCGTCGAAGGAGAGGAAGTCGTTCTCGCGGATGCGGTACGTCTCGCGCAGGAACTCGAGGCGTGCCTTGAGGATGCGCGACTCCGTGTACTGGAAGGGGACGCCGATGCAGAGCACCGTGCGGCCGTACTGGTTGTCGAAGTCGATGCCCTCGCTGACCTTGCCCCGGGCGACGCAGAGCAGGATGGCGCCACGCCCGTTGTTGCACGCCGTGCGGTACGTGTCGAGCGCCAGGGACGTTTCCTGCGCGTCGGGCGTCTCGACGAGGATGAGCTTGTTCTTCCAGACTTCGTCGAGGATGCCCATGCCTTGCCACATGCTGATGATGGATTCCATGTACAGGTAGGAAGGGAAAAAGACGACCATGCCGTCCGGGGTGAGTTTAGAGAATTCGGTGAGCAGGTGTCCGTAGTTGCGGACGACAGAGGGCTCGTTACGGACTTGGAAGCCCGAGGAGATGGCGACTTGGTCGGAGCCACGGGTGACGATCATGGGAAGGAAAGAGCGGCGTGCGAGCGTCATGGTGTAGGATTCCTGGACCACGGCTGTGAATCCGAGCATTTTGGGGTACATTTCGAGGGGGGAGATGGTTCCGGAGGTGATGATGACAGAGGAGAAGCGGTCGAAGACGGGTTTGATCGCGATTGCTGCATCTAGACAGGCAAAGTGGAGGACCGGATTGGGGACTTCTGCCGTGTCCGACTCATAGGGTTCCAGGATAAGGACGAATCCCTTTTCGTAGGTTGCCACGAGCGTTGCAAATGTTGCTACTTCTTGTAGTGGTTGGTAGTCTTCGATATTCGTCAACTCGAGCGTCCGCACAAGCGAAGTCAGTCTCTCGGCGCAAAATCGTAAAGGTTTCTTCTCAATGAAAGTGTACTCCTTGAGATGTGCTAGAAAAGACGGGGGTGTCTCAGAGATCACCTGTCGGACCTTCATTCGAGTCTGGAGCAGGTCAGACTCAGATCTCATCTCGGGTGTGGGAGACTTGCCTTCAGGTATTCAATGAAGCGCTTCAAAAACGTAATGAAATGCTCAGCTCTTCTAATATTTCCAGGAACAGCTTCCTTCAGCAGATCATCAGGGAGAGCTGCCACATCCATTAGTACAAGCCAGTGGCGAGACTGGGGATCAGGATTGCTTACCAGGATTCGACATGAACGCATCCTCCTGACGAGCGTCATCAGCATCCCTCAAGCCCTCCACCAGCTTAGCATATTCGCTTTTCAGCTTATCCGCATCACTATTCTTCATATCCGTGATCTTGATCTCCAGATTCTGAGCCCCTCTCGTAGCTTTCCGCAGCGAGTCTTCGGTGATATCTGTGCTGAGCGACTCGATGCAGACGTTGTCGATGTTATGCGCTTCGTCAAACACCACAATACAATCCTTGGAGAGCTCCTTGGAGACCCGTTCTGCGATCTTCGGATCGAGAAGGTAGTGGTAGGAGTAGATAATGACATTGCAAAATGACATCTTTGAGAGTCAGTTAAAGCCTAACAAAGTGAGGTTACGATTTACAAACCATTCGTCTCGAAGTGAAATACGGGCATTGCTTATGCTCCTCTCCATACTTCAAGATCCCCTCAAAAGTCCAGACACCATTCGGAATCAAATCATGTGGCTCCAGCAGGTCCAAATTCTACCCCCTGTCAGTCTCGCCTCAGCACGTCACGGCTGCATGTGTGACACTTTGCATATCCAAATGCGTTGACCGAGCCGCAGTCTCGGATTCCCACTGGGCATGGTTGTGGGTTGGACTTACATCGTGGTAAATACAAACCGGCACGTCCTCGCCCCTCTCCTTCTTCTCTTTGACAAAGCCAGCCGTCAAGCTCCGACATCGGGCGTCGACCACCGTCCCGCTCTTCTCCCTCTTGACGCTCGGATGCAGACACAGGTTCTTGCGACTCGTCAGTCCCAGCCCTCGGAACTCCTCTTCGTGGCCCAGCATCTCCGCTCTGTATTTCATCAGGGCTTCCAGCTCAAAGAGGGCCTTCTCGATCTCCGACATGGTACCTAGCAAAAATCAGAGGGCGTAAGGTGGGGGGAAAGGGAAAAAGGCGGAGGGGGGGAGGAGAGGACTCACGTGAGCAGTATATCAGCTTGCGGTGCTCAGGGTAGTACTGCTGGTATGCGACAATAAGGGAGAGCAGGGAGACTGTCTTGCCAGTCCCCGAGGGCATTTCCAGAACACAGTGGCCGCCTGCATCGAGCGTTCCTATGACAAGTCGTGAGCCTGGGACTCAAAATTTGTTTGGGAGGCTGGCGGCACTTACTCTTGAGATCGCACATGTAGCTATTTTGAAAGCCAGCTCGGTCAGTGTAAGGCTCTCGAGGAGATGGCTGTGGACATACGCATATTGTTCTGTTATTTATGCAGCGTCAGTACGGATACGGATGCCATTGAGTAAGTGGGAGCAGGTGTCTTCTTACCTGGATATATCCTAGGGTACGGGAACAAAACGGGGAGGTCACTAGAAAGGCATCAGCATCATCCTACCCAGGCTTGAGGATACTGCATACTCAATGTTGAACTTCATTTTGACGCTTGTCGAGTTTTCTCGCTGGTGTCGAGGGTGGAGGCCTAGGTTGACGTCGAAGCTTTTTACTAGATAGGTAGCTGTTATTGCTTATCTGCCTATCGAGCGTTAGGTAGGCCAATGAGGCAAGGCTGTCAAAACAAAATATTCATAAGTAGATTCACTGCACCAGTCCGTTTAGGATCCATTACTAGGTCGTTTTAAAGGTTGCTACTTCTTTGCCTCCCTCGTTGGAGAAAGGGATCTTGATATCAAGTTGGTATCGGGAAAGCCAGGCTAACGTAGTATTAGTCAGCTAACGGCTTTTAAGGTACCTACTATCTACCCATCCCGCCTCCCCTCGAATTCCTCTTCAAAAGCTCTACAGTTTTCCCTTCATACAGATATAATCGTCGGCTCGCTTAGGTGGGCCTCCTTTCATCCTTTCAGTCTTAGTCGGCATAAGCGATTGCGGATCGGAAGCGAATGCGGATTTTTTTATTTTGCTACCAGTTTTTGTATACAAAATACAATTTACAACATCATTCTTTGATCCACCACCGCACAATTCAATCGCATTCTACAATCAATTATAAGCCGAAAACGCACTCGCTCGAAGAAGCCTTCAAGGATTTTTCAATACAAAAGCCACGCTCAACCAAGTAGTCCTAATGCAATTGAAGATCTTGCGACGCGTCTCCAACGCGCTACAACCTTCTTGTCCGAATACCCTCAAGAGACTCAAAAAACTGCTGCGCGTATATACGACCTCAATGAGCGCATATTGAACAGTCACCTCAAGCGACCGAAAAATCGCAAGCGCGGCGGTCAAAATAAGATCTTGCAAAGCTGGCATATCAACGCGTTACGCCAATTCATCGTTCAGCTCCTTGCTAATTGGCTTACTCCTACACCGCAATTGATCTATAACGTTATATTCGCCTTACGCAAAACATACGATGAATACGCGAAGCCGCAAAGCTGGAGCTGGTTTACAAGGTGGTGAAAAACGAGTGGCCTCCACAAAATCAAGACCAAACCTCTCGCTCGAATCCGAATATCAGCGCAAGACACGAACGCGGTACACAAGTGGTTCAAAAGCTATCGACGCACCTTGAAGAAGATGAATATTCGACCTAAAGATATCATCAATTTCGACGAGACTGGGTTCCGTATTGGCTGTCCGCGAGGAACGGAAGTATTAGTTCCTGGATCTATTCAAGAGGTATGTCGTGCTATATCGTATTATATAACTTATTTAATATTATATATTAATTTTTATATATAGTTCTATAGTGTTAGCCCTAAGAATCGAAGATCCGTAACAATAATCGAGATGATCAATGCGACTAGCCAAAAACCTGTTCCTCCGATGATTCTTATTCAAGGCAAACGACTCATGCAACAATAGTTCGTTTCGAACCTTCTTACAAGCACACTCATTAAAGAAGCTGATAATGGATTCACGGACAATAAAATCGCATTGCTATACCTCGAGCATTATATCAAAAACGCAGATTGTGGACCGAATAAACCTTAGAAGCTTATGTTGATAGATAATCACGCTAGCCACCGGACTCCGGAATTCATCAATTTAGCTAACAAAAATCACATTCTACCGTACCCGTTGATTCCTCACCTCACTCATTGCATGCAACCTCTTGATATAAGGATTTTCCAACCTTATAAGCATTACTACGACTTAGCGATTAAAGCTGCGCTTGCACAGCTCGACGTCGAATATACAATCAATTCTTTCTTAAACGATCTCGACCATATTCGCAATCAAACACTCAGTCGATACAATATCAAAAAAGCTTAGAAGAAGTCTAGAATGTACCCACCGAACGCAACGCAATGTTTAAAAAATCTCAAGACCTTTACGCCTCCCGAATACGTAAACAAAGACGAGCCAGAGCTTCCTCGTACTCCTCGGAAACCAGCGCATGTCGAAATCAGCTCGTAGAAGTGGCAAAATAAATGCAACGAGTTATTGAGTAGTCCTTCTCGACAAGAATTCGAATCTTACATGAAAGGTACTCGAGAAGTTGCAGTAAAAGCTACTTTACAAGAACAAGAATTAGCTATTCTCGCTCAACAACGAAAAGACCAACTAGAAAGCAAAACAAAAAATCGCAAATGGTTTCATCACACCGAAGGCTTAACATCTTAAGTTGGTAATAAGCTTGCTGCTGAGCAAGAAGCTAAAGCAAATCTTGAATCTGCTGCAAAACAACAACGAATCGTCGATAAGCTTTGGAAAGAGGAAAGAGATGCTGAGTATCGTAAAGGAGTCGAATCACGCAAAGCTGAACGCGAGCGCAAAAGGACTATACGAGAACGCCTTGCTGCAGGCTTAATTATTAAAGACGACGATTCAATACTCATTCCAATTCTCGATTCGGAAGAGATTTGGTGGATGCAACAACCTCCTAAACGTCAAATTCTGCGGCCTCGTAAAAAAGGTATTCCTCGACCAACTCTTTCTCAACCTGAACCTTTTCTCGGTGATGATAATCTAATGATTATAACCGATACTACCGGAGACCTTTCTTTAAAGCAAGATATTATTCCTTTTCCTAGTATTAATATCGATAGCGATAGCTTCAATTCTGATAGTAGTAGAGATTCAAACGATTCGTTGCGAAAGGTAAGAGACGAATCAAATTCTGATGAAAATAATGATCGATGGTCAAATATCTCATCAAATAATACGATTTTAGATGTTTCGGAAGACGGTATAACAGACGATTAATTATTCATGTAAATATTTCTTTGTTGTAATAGTAAATGCTATAGTATTAAAGAATTTCTAACATATTCGAAAAAATCCGCATTCGCTTCCGATCCGCAATCGCTTATGCCGACTAAGACTGAAAGGATGAAAGGAGGCCCACCTAAGCGAGCCGACGATTAGTCCCAGGATTCTTTGTGGACATTTGCGAGGTCGTGAATACTCTCTCTCATTTCACCTTATTCTCCTAATCCGTATTTCATTGAGAGAGAAGAAAAAAAGGAAACAATCTAGCGCAAGTATTCACTAAAGATCCCGTCATTCATCATATCACCAAACACAATTATCACACCAGGAAAGCAGAGCTTTGCTCGGTACACCAAGGTAGTAATCCCCTCTGTAAATTTCACTCCGAAGTTACTGTACCACGGGTAATCCACCCTCTCCTCACTCAATCAAGTCCCGAATCAGGGAAACACGTATTTCGACGCCTCGCAAAGCAATCCAAACCAATTCCAGGATCGGATCGAGCCTAGAAAGATCCGTAACTAAAAATATATTTGCAATCACGTCCCTAGCTTATCCCTTTCCTTTTCTGCCTCAAAGTGAGACCACCAAAAAGATTACTGTAGAGATGGCGAAGTCCAAGAAAAAAAAAGTATCCATAATTCTTTCTGCCCTGCTCTCGACTGTCTGAGCCAAGATTCTGTCCATCCTCATCCTCTTTTGTTCCGAAGCCATACAAAAATCCCGTTTCCCATAATAATAACGTAGGCAACTCCTTCCCGTCGAACAAGCTCGCTGAGAAGATTGTGGTATAAAAATGTTCGTAATTCGTAAGTCGTAACCGCCTCAAAACAATAGTCCCGGAACACAAATTGTGCCATGTTAACGCCATTTCACCTCGCATAGGGCTTGTTCATCGCAGCGATCTCCCGTGCGATTTCCGGCCACTCCATTTCTCTACGAAAACGTCCTTCGCTGTTGGAGTTGCGTTGCATATTCTCTTCCCATTTGAGAAGCTCATAGGAGAAACGGAGATGGGGTTGGATGATGACGTTCAGGCGGCGGGCACGCACGAAGCAGTAGGCTCGTGGGAAGGAATATCCTAGTGTTCGCATGATTTCTGCGATACAGATTGATGCAGAGCGGGAGACGCCTACCCGGCAGTGGACGAGTGTTGCTGTGCCTTTGGCTTTGCCGCGGTCTGGGACACTGTTAATAAGAGTGCACGATTAGAAATCTATATGTTACTGACCAATGAATTGCAGACACCGCTCAAACTCGTCCGTCAAGGGGTCGACACCATTGTCTTGTATATGCCGGATAGTCATCAAATCGCCCTTCGCCCAGTCCTCCAACTCCCCATCTGTCCACGTAACCCTTTCACCCACACTCAGGACTTGGCCGATGCCCATCCTTCGCAAGAGATCTGGATTGTTCGCATGCCCAAGGTTTCCGAGATACATGTAGTCGGTTACCCTGCTAGGAAGAGATCCGTCCATTTTCTTAATCCACTCTGGCTCCTCATTTGCAAGCTCGGTGATATCCGAGAGCGATTTTTCGGAGTTTACTGGAGATTCGGAAAGTAACCGAGGGGCAATGCTGGTAAGAAGAGCAACATCCGAGGGGTAAGCGAAGAAATTACGGTGTTTGTTAACATGGAGGTCCAGCCAAGCCGACGGGACAGGAAGTCCAGTAGCATAGGTAAAATAGGCTAGCGCGAGAAGCGTTGATTCGGTGTAACCATCCGTGCAGTGAATCAGAATCTTTCTCTCTCGTATCTTGGAAGGGCCGGAAGGAGAAGGCATCGGAGAGTCACCTTCCCCATCGACCTTTTGCGAGTGCAAAAGGGGAGTGATACCGTGAGAGAGGTTGTAGAGCCATTTGCATGTTTCGAGGATACCATCCGCTTCGCTGTGAGACCAAGTCGGAGGCATGATGCTCCCTGAAGAAGGGAATTCAAGATGTGCTGGACCGCCGTCTGATGAGCGCTCTGCAAGTGCTTGCAAGGAAGATGGATTGAGCCGCCCGACGTCACTGCATTCGATGAGGATATCAAACTGCTCATCACCCCCATGTAGAGCCCGGTCTATCGCCGGGTCCGGTGTAGGTCCTAACCAAACATTATGGTGGATTTCCGAGGCCTTAGTCATTGTGCACATCTCGGTTCTCTCCTGATGGAAGAAATCCATCACTTTCCCCGTCATCTGACCTCTGGAATCCGTATACACGATTTCTGGATATTTCTGCTCGAATACCTCGAACGGGCTTGTGCAGACAAAGGTGTTGTACTTCGGGATTTCGTGGCCCTTCTCCTCGTGGGTTTCCCGCCATAGATTTTGAGCGGCTGCGATATCCTGCGCCAGTCTCTCTACTGCCAATGAATCTTCTCCGTACACCAAAATGTCCGAAAGCGTTGCTGCTTTTGCGGTTTGTATCTGGAAGTTGCGGCACGAGAACCCTTCCCTTGGATCAGCTTCCCGGAGCTCGACTCCATCGGCATCCTGCAGCAAGAACTCCTCGGGAGCAACCGCACCCTTCAGCCTCGAGCAGCTCAAATCTCCACCAGCCTTCACTACCGTCAGGCCACGCCAACATTTGGGTGCCCTCCTCAAGGTCTTGCGCTTGGCAAGAAAGAAGGCTCGCTGGGTGTAATTGCATCGATGAAGGCCATGGAACCAAGGGAAGACCTGGGTTGGATCTGGCAGTGGTTGCCCTGCAATGTGTTCGAGAGCAGCCGCCACTTCATCCGCATCAATCTCGTATATGGTCGAGGAACCCAATTTCCGAGACGTGTAGTTATCGGGCGGATAGAGGAGAGACGACTGAAGCGTTGGGCCTTTGGCTTGAGGCGGGGATTGAGGCGGCGTATCGGGCTTTTCTGAGGGGGCGGGTCCCGGAGGACAGATTGGAAGGTGTTTGTTTGGTATCGGGATTGGGAATGATATGGATGTGAGCATAGGGTCGAGGCCAAGAGGTGTCAATGGATGTGGGGACGGGGATCGTGTGTGGCCCGTGGAAATTCGAGGGAGTGCGAAGGAATATGCCATCTTCAGCAACGTTGTAGGAGTGCAAGGCCAGCCGGCGAACTCTCTGCTACGTATTTCAGGGCTGCATGCAAGGAATTCTGCAGTTAAAAGATCTTCTCCTAGGACCGAGTTCGGAGAGGAATGGCGGCTTTACGCGCGCGGGGTACTACCGCGTTTGCTGAGGTAGGTATAGATTCGAGTACTTTGATGCTCGAGGCAATCTAGGAATGGGTGATTTGTTTGTTGGAGAGCTTCGTGCTCTCGTGGTCATGTGGATATGTGTTTGATGAGGAGTAGCGGTTCAAGTGCTATACTGTGTATTGTTGTTGTTGTTGTTGTTGTCGTTGCTGCTGTTGATGGTGGTGTGGAGGTGGTGAATGAGGTTGGGGGGGGGAAGGGAGCAGGCAGGTTAGCTCGGCGGCAGCACAACTGAGTGAGACCGGACATGGGTCGCTTTGAGCAAACCACCTCTTATCGCACAGTTTGAGATAAGAAGCCGGCGGGTAAATGAAGACTGCAAGGCGAACTGCAGGACGAGCAGGGCTGGCTGTATTGGTATTGGGTATTGGGTATTGGCTATTGGGTATGAGGGATTGGGTATGAGGTAGTGGGTATGAGGTATTGGATATTGGGTTTTGGGTTCTGGGTATTGTATCGGGCGGGCGGTATGACAGAACAGATAGTTCGAATGTCGAGGCCTGTTTGTTGGGTTGTACAGCGAGGACGCGTGATGATCGCGATTGTAGGGTAGCGTAGCACGCAAAGGCGATTGATTGATGGATTGATGGATTGATGGATTGATGGATTGATTGATTGATTGATTATACCCACGGGTCGGGGATGATTCAGGGACTTTTACACAACAGCATGTTGTAGTGTGATGTGGTATGGCGTTGCTTGTTGCGGACGGGGCGATCGATGCAGAGAGAGGTGGAGGTGGAGGTGGAGGTAGAGGATGGGTTGGGTTGGGTTGGGTTGAATATAGGTAGTTGAGTTGAGTTGCGTCGAGTACCGGTAGAGCAGAATTGAGTTGAGTCGAATTGAGTTGAGTAGATTAGAATTGAGTTGATGATATTTCCGGATGGAACATGTATCAAAGGCAAATGGAATAAGACTCGACTTGTGCTAATAGTGTAAAGTATGTCAAGTATACAGTAACGGTATTCCTCCATCGCCGTTCCGTTCGTGATTAGCGGGCGACGGGATCGAAAGGCAAATGCTCCAACGCCAAGGCAGCTGCAACGAATCAATCCCCGCGGCGGCAGGTCGAGAGACGATGACAGGACATGCGGGCGAATCCTTTCCTTTTCCTTTTCCTTTTTCCTTTTTCCTTTTTCCTTTTCCTTCTCCTATTCCTTTTCCTTTTCCTTTCCTTTCCGTGAAATCATCCATCCATCTCGTCTTAATTCAGCTCTTCACCCATCCACCCATCCAATTCTCTCTACTCTATTGACGGCCTACCGGTATTGACCGCCTCTCTCCCGCCCTTCATCACGTCATACCTATCCGATCCACGTTTTCGTTCCGTTTCGCCGGCCTGCGCACTGGAGAACTTGTGACGGGAGCGGGGGGGAAGCTTTGTTTTGTTCACGGAGTGGTCCTGGCTCAAGCTCAAGCAAAAAGCTCCACATACCGGTCGGTATCCATCCCACTCGACCGTCCGTCATCCGTGCATGAGCAAAGAAATAAAACTAAAACTAAAACTAAAACTAAAACTAAAACTAAAACTAAAACTAAAACTAAAACTAAAACTAAAACTAAAACTAAAACTAAAACTAAAAATAAAAAAAAATAAAAAGTCCGCTTTCTTCGAACCTGCCCATGATCCTCGCGCAAGCTTCACCGGGCTGCAGCCAGCCACCGCACGAAAAGCCATCGAGGCTGGAAGCCCACACGTCGCGAGGGGGGAGGGGGGAGTAAATCGCATCTCGGTGTTGACCCGGCGACAAACCCTCTCCTTCCTTTCCCTCTGCAGCAAGTTGGTATACCGGTAGTAGAACGGGTTCGTATTACCCTAATTCTACCGATCCGTGGGGGAGGGGGAAGAAGCGGCGTACGGCCACACGCGGGGGGGGAGGGAGAAGATTCAAGTCGTGTGACCGATGATTTACGTAGTACGTCTCAATACTGTAGTAAAACTCCCCAAGTTGGGGGGGGGAGGGGGGATGTAGTGTAACTCAAATGATAGACCAGATCCAAAAATATCGAAACGTGCCAGGAGCTGGAACCTCTCCCCCCGCCAGGGAAAGCGAGAAAAGAGCGAACCTGCCCGGCGGCGGCGGCGGCTCGTTCGACGTCTGAGATATATATAGCAATCGCTCTCGGCAAGCAGCCTCGCGGTAGCCCGTGGTGAGCGGAGCAAGGAAAACCATCGCGGGAGAGGTATAACTGTATGATTGACGTCGTAATACGTACATCATCCACTTCCCAGCTTCTCGCCTCAAGACAAGTCCCCCAGCAGAGGGCGACTTCCCAACTACGAACATACCCACCCAAAGGATCAACGCCGATAGAATGGGTTAGCGAACCATCCAAGGGGGGTTTCGACCCGTTCTCCTCTTCTTTGACGTGGCCCACGCTGGCGCATTACTCCAGCGATAGCATCATCCATCCGTCCATCCATCCATCCATCCATCCCCATCACGAAGCACGTGAACAACCACCACCATCAAGTACCGGTACCGGTACTGGACTTCGTCGACGATCGAAAAATCCGCCAGCCTGATAAGCGAGCGATCTCCTTCCCCCCTCCCCCCCCCTCCTCCCCGCCCCCATACACACAGCGATCTGATACAAGGTTCCAGATATCAACATATCAAACCTAATCGAGAAAGTTTCTCATTTTTTCCATCCACTCACCCGTTCGTTCGTTCCTGGATCTCAGGGACCCAATCCAATCGATACCCACCCCACGTCCGTCTAGATACTACTACTACGTATGATCGATCTACGGAGTAAAGACGAAACTTGACCCGCTCCAGATACGTAGTAATTCCCTTGATTGAGGAGGGGCCATTCTGGTGGACGGTGTGTTACTGATGAGAAAAGCTTGATTTTTGGACAGGGGAGTGGCCATATTTCCCGGATAATTGACTCCATGGCCGTTGGTTTTATTCTCTACGGAGTCTTGACAATACCTGAGACTCTGTTGATCCATACGCCCCTGAGCAGCAACATCCGCCGCAAGCATTCCGCACGCTGTGCTCGCCGCGCGATGCGCAGCAGAACATCATGCCTAGATCGGTGCATATCTAAACCTTCTGCGCCAGCTCGTCAGCCAATCTCTGCAGATAAAACCCGGTCACGTCCCGAGGCAGACCGGCAAAGGACTTGACGATCTTGGCGATATCCTGCCTCCCCTTCTCGTACGCTTGCAGGTCTCGATTTCCGTAGACGTCCTTGCCGGCAGCATAGCCGGTCGAGAGGTTGCGGAAGAAGACGTTCACCGCAATGCTGACTCCCGACGCGGCCGACGCCGTGTGCAGCCATAGCGGTGGTAGGAAGAGGATATCTCCGGGCTGGAGGATAGCTTCGTGTGGATGAGTGCCTCCCAGTCGTGAGTTGGCGATTTCTTCGAACACGTTGATGTGCGAGCTTGAGGATCCGGGCTCGAACTGGAGGTGCGTCACGTCCGACGGTGGGAAGAGGAGAAGTCGCTTAGAGCCCCTGACTTGGCAGTAAACATTCGCCATGACCTATGACTATGAGTGAGTACCATGACGCGACGGGGTCGTGTTTCTCACATCGTAGTGCAGCCACATGTTTACAGAGCCGGATATGCGGAGCGGAGAACTATGCGCATTGTCTGCGACAAAGGATAACTCTGAAGGTAGTCGAAAATCGGCAGAAATGAAGGGGAAATCTCTGGCAATGTCGGCCGGCTGCTCTGAAGGCTTGTCAGAGGATAGGGAACGGAGGTAGAGCTTCTCTCCAGTCTCGACCTGGTCTAGGAAGTCACCAAAGCGTTTAGGGGTATATTTGAAGTTCTTGGACTTGAAGTCCATGTGCTCTGTGCTGGCTTCGTGGACGATCACCTAGAATCTTTAGATTCAAACTTCCAATTTCAGATCAAGATACCTACCTCGCGATCTATACCAACCTTCTCCTTGAGATACCCCATTGTCCAACTTTGAACACAGGGGCCAAGATCAACCTTTTCGAAGATGATAGGAGCCGAAGTCTGGAGAGCCTGACTGAAGTCTGTCGCTGATCTGAGCTGTACTCTTGAGATAGACGTCATGGTGACTGGATCCGTAGTGTTAGGTGTTACGGGAATTTTGGGGGGGGTCTGAGCAGCCACGGTCTGAGCTAATTTCCAGATCTCGGTCGATTCTGCCTTCGAATCCAGGCCTGAGGCTCCCGACATACAGCTTTCTGAGAGTTCCGTATGCAATGTATAGCATCCTTTGTTCCAATACGTTCCGAAGGAGAAGCAAACAGCTGATCCTCCTGTTATGACCAGAGACTGTCCGGAGGCAACAACGGTCGAGCCTATCAGAAGAGGTCGAGGATTGAGACCGGGGTCAACGACTGACACTGAAGCAGTATCTCCTTCCATTCTGAATACACAGAGCTCTTTCGTTGACCCCAATATCTCATCCGGGATGATTCCACCTACGATGTAGGTGTTCCCTTGGTACTCGACGGCAGTCGCACCGAATCGAGCGACCAGATTATTAGACTTGAAGTTTTCAAAACGACGAAAGCTTATTGTTGGTTTCTAGCCACGGGGGTCAGCCAAATATCCCTAGGGAAATACAATGGCTGCGTCGGGATAGTCACCTTGCTAGATAAGCCTTGTAAAGACCATTTCCAAACATCGCCAAGTACACATGAATCGATAGACATCCCACCAGCAATGAAGCCATATCTGTCGTCTTTCAGATCTCTTAATGATTCTGCCTTGGATGAGAAGAAAACACCTCCATATGAAGGGGGCAGCCGCGATTCTCCAGAGTATGCACATTCTACCCAACCTGTCCGGCGATGCCAAATGATAAAGCTTTCAGAGATCGTCCTAGAGTCGATCCTCCCAGGTGATACAAGTACAAATCCATGGCCAAGATATGTAGCTTGATGGCGATACAAAGGCCAGGGAAGATCCTCGACGCGTTCCCATGTATTGAGCCACTTGTGAAATAGCCAGCACTCTTTCGAAGCGTTGTCTGGAGAGTTTCTGCCGCCGACTAGTAGTGAGATATCACCCAGGTCTGTCATGGTGTGACACATTCTGCTAGACGGAGTCGTATCAGACCCGTGAGAATTGACGGTGCGAGGCTCGATGGTTTCCGTACTGTACTCATCGTATGAGTCGGTCCGTGTTGTCAAACCCATGCCTCCAAACACCCCAATTCTATCGTGGGACCGATCTTGCCCTTTGAGGGGCATGGATGCCGCGAAGCGTCGATATCCATGGGCCTTTGGGTACTTCGAGAATACTGATTTTACTTCGATGCCGGATCCTACCCCATTGATCGGCGCCAGAAACGCCTCTTGCTCTTCTTGTACCTCGGCCCAAATTGTGCATGCATCGTTATTGGATTTGTCTGCAACGAGCAGAAAGTAATGGCTTCCAAACAAGGCGAATTCTTCCCACTCATCAAAAGGTTCGATTGTATCCAGAGACCTTCGTTCCTCGGAGGAAATAAACTTCGGCGAGCTCCAAAGTTTCCACAGATTGCAAATCGACACGTTCGGCCAACCCAGGCCATGGAAGCGACCTCGTTGGTCATATTCTGTAGGGTATTTTTTGACAGCCCCTAAAGGTGTCTGTAATTTATCGAAATGTGCCATCATAGTCTGGGAGAACGGGTGCTCGTTTCCATCTGGAATGAGCTGCTCCAATAGACAGAAGCGAGCTGTATCATGTCAGCTTATGTTATGAAAGGATGCTTGGGTTTCGCACCTTCGGGAAGATTGCTAGCCCATGCGATTAAGCAATCTGCTGCTTCCACGTTCATATATGTAATCGAAACCTCCGCGGTGAATAGAATCAAGCCTGCCTTACGTCAGTCCCCTATATGTCACGGCACGCAACTGATATGGCCCGCTTGCCCGAGGGCGACAACACGCTCATGTTGTGGCTGACACCAGGATGATAGGAAGCTACAATAGTTCTTCCGTTATGATTGTGCTTCTGTAACTTACACTTATTGATGTCGACAACATCTGTCAATACTCGCTTCAGAGCCACGAGATCTCTCAAATCGCAGCCGAGCTGAACATACTGATCACTTCGAAATAAAACATCCCCCTCAGATAGCTCAACATTCGCAAGCATCGAATTGAGCTCGTACGTACTTTGGACAACCGCTCGCTTCTTGAGAATGAGATCCTTGTAGTCAATGTCGATAAACTTTGCTCCTACGCATGCCTTCGGACAGCGATGAAAACATTGCCATGGCAGAGGATCACTGCAAAGTCAGTCCATTCCAAGGCAGAGGAATAGGCCTCTACTAACTATCCGCATCCCAGATTGATGACTACCTTTTGCTTCTCGGACTCTTGCTCCAGGAATTGGCGCACGACCTGGTCGATGGCTTTCATTCGCAACCAGTAGCCACGATTGATCAGTGGAGAACGCCTCTGAGGCTTCTTGACGAAGTGACGGAAAAATTGAGGTTCATTTGGGTAGTATATTCGCTCGACGCTTCTTTTGGAGACGATACTACTGTTGTTTGTCTGTGGAAGTGAGTACATTGGTTTTGAACTTTGGGGTGAGTTGATTTGAAAATGTTCTCCAGCGATGATAAAACGAGAAATAGGCCATTACTTTGTACTCATCAGATGAGACTATTGACTGCACAGATTCTCCTCAACAAAATTGCTGCGGCTGGTCTCTTGAGGCCTGAGATATAAGACCAACTAGTCAAGCTCACAAGTTCATACTACGGCCACTCAGTCTGCACTGTGGAAGTTCATAGCAACCATGCTTAAGAACGCATAAGGAACCAGACCTGGGTAACTCACCCCCATGATCGAATCATCTTGATTTTGCGCCTTGGATTTGGCTACCCGCGCAGGCAATGAGCCCCCGATTGCTGCTGGTGCCGCCATTTCGGGGACAGAATTGGCGTAGATACTGGTTAATTTTCTGGAGAGAAGTGGCACCGAAGTGTTCTGGTATTGAATTTTCAGCAAGTCGTAGGGGACAAGGAATCGGGGCGAGAGTGTTTCACTATCTCACTCTTGTGCCTAGAATATACAGATATAGAGCTAGATGTTAAAATTTCGTACTGGGTTTGTCTGAGGATTTATGATTAGCGAGGATAAATGAAGCTAGCAAATTAAGGTGTGGTCAGAGCTTCTCTCTCCCCGCCAGCTCCTTGTACTCCGTACTCCGCACGGATAAGATCTGGCCGACATCTGCACACAACTGCATCCGCATCGCATCGACGGGCAAGTCGCAGTCCACGCACCGATGACTACGCCTGCGATTCTCAAAGACCTCTCAATCTCTGGTCCGATATCTCATCTCATATCCGCTCCTGGATCTTCCGCCTCTGCCTCCAGCTAGGCGGTTTCTTCCTCGTCGCCAGGTCCCACCAGCTAGCTAGCTACTCACCCTTCACCTCCAAACCCACTCTGAGCTTCGAGCCTCGACCTTCGACGTTCGTGTTACCAGCCAGCCGCGCAGGGCGCAGCGACCATGGCTATGAATTTTGTTACTTTCAACCAGGACTACAGTTGCCTGGCTGTTGGTAGGTCCGAAGCCTCTAAATCTCATGGCAGTACTTACTTTTCTTCTCAGGAACATCGCGAGGTTTCCGTATCTACCACACAGATCCTTTTGCGAAGATATTCAGTAGTGATGATGGAAATGTGGCTCTTATTGAGATGTTGTTCTCAACGTCTTTAGTTGCCCTCATCCTGTCCCCCAGGCATCTCGTAATCCAAAATACAAAGGTGGTCCATTCATGAAGCAGCAGGCTTCAACGTATACTACCCGATCAACGGAATGCCTACTGACTTGATATACAGAGATCCTCCATTATCTGCGAACTTACCTTCCCCTCTGCCGTTCTTGCCGTCCGGCTGAACCGGAAACGACTGGCCGTAGTGCTCGAAGAAGAGATATACCTATACGACATTTCGAATATGACACTTCTCTACACAATAGCAACTTCGCCGAACCCCAATGCGATCTGCGCTCTCGCTCCTTCATCAGAGAACTGTTACATCGCATATCCTCTACCCAAGCCGAGAGAAGATACTGGGGATAAACGACCCTCCCATGCACCGCCACTCTCTACCTTCGTCCCACCGACTTCTGGCGATGTTTTGATATTCGATACCACCAAATTGGAAGCTCTGAATGTTGTTGAAGCTCATAGGGCACCTTTGTCTTGCATAGCTCTCAACAATGACGGGACACTGCTGGCAACAGCTTCAGAAACGGGGACTATCATCAGGGTATTCTCATTACCAAAGGGCACCAAACTGTACCAATTCCGACGAGGAACATACCCTTCGACTATTTACAGCATGTCTTTCAATCTGAGCTCGACGTTACTCTGTGTGTCTTCTACTACCGATACGGTTCATATCTTCCGCCTGGGTGGCCCAGTCCTGCCAGACTTGCCAAAATCATCAAATGATAGATGGGGCCGGTCTCGTTCTCGTAGCTATGACAGTGGGACAGAATCACCTGCCACGGGAACTTCACCGGGAAGTGATGTGGCGGAAGTGCCAGAAGTTACTCGCTCAGCTCGTGGTACACTTGGAAGTATGCTTCGGCGATCATCGCAGATGATGGGGAAGAGTGTAGCTGGTGTAGTGGGTGGTTATTTACCGCATGCTGTCACAGAAATGTGGGAGCCTATGCGAGACTTCGCATTTATTAAGTTGCCCAAAAGTGGCATGGGACTCAACTCAACAGGAGGTCCACTTCGAAGTGTAGTTGCCATGAGCAGCAGCAGCCCGCAAGTAATGCTCGTTACTAGTGATGGAGGTTTCTATGTCTTCAGCATAGACATGGAAAATGGTGGCGAGGGTGTTTTGGTGAAACAGTACTCGTAAGTTGTTTTCTAGATTCGTTCTCGATTCTCCTAACACGTACCCAGTGTTCTCGAGGGTGACGATAAACTCGACCAGTCAGCAATTGACTACAGCAATTAAGACATGTTTTTTCCACTCATGGTTTTCCTCGCTGGGCGTTTTGTCGAATCTCGGATGGCTTCGTTTGCTATTCCATCGCATATTCCAGCATGAAAGCAGGCGTTATGGATCCATTCATAATCTGTGGAGAATTGCTTGCGAGAAACCCAAGGGTTCAGTATAATGGACAAACAGCATTCTATTTCCAGAGATGCTTTCGAATCTTTCTTCTGTTTCTTCAGCCATGACCAGCAGACGCCATGTCAGTCAAGAGATCAGCGGGTTAGGTACCAATATAGAAGCACGAACTTAACTCAAACTGATATTCTACGCAGATAAGAAGCGTTCATGCGAAAGATTTCAAGCCACCGTAAAGAGCGAAGAGATCCCAGGAGATGCTCTTGGTCTTACAACTAACATCCTTGCCAGGTCATGCCGGTTTGATAGGCAGTTCATTCGATGTCCATTTCTCCGGAGTGGACCAGATCTATTCCAGCAGTCCATTTCAAGTTTTCGACAACTCTGGTGCTACTAGACCACTGTCCAAGAAAGACTCCGTCATCGATCCCATGACATATCTCACGGTAAGATTATGGTGGTCTCTACAGCTCTGGTCAACCGAGGTCTATTCAAGTGGCTGTCAATTACCCTGGCCCTAGCGACAGGCATTTACTTTTCAATTCAACAAATTCAAAGCACGTATTCACGAAGTCACAAACCATCGTAGTATGCGAAAAACCACGCTGCGATTTCCACGCAATCGGGATTTTCATTTTTATCTAAGCCCTGCAAAGCTCATCGGAACATTAAAAGCAGGGATCGCCGCCCTGTGGCCGATCCTGACCTTTCTCTCTTCTTGAACGCCACTATTTTACGTGGAGCGTTACGTTGGCGAGGAGGATTTGACTCAGGCAGGCCTTTCGCCGTCACCCCGGAACGAGTCTGACTATGGTCTTTGCGAGAGTGAATGAAGGAAATTCGTATGCGTCATCCCACAATTCGTCGTCGTCAGTACGATTCCCGAAAACTAGACTGGCGATAAGTCAGTTGGGCATGTTCATGTCGATTATGAAGCTCCATTATTTCACTCTATATTTCGAGCGGAAGGGTCATGGTCCCACCCCCGCGTCGGGATTTATGACCTGCCTGCACACACAGGTACAGGTAGGTAAATAAATCATGCGCTTTCGCTTCTCGTGTCTATCTGACTCGAACATGCTCCACATGAGTTTTCGCATCGGAGGTAAGCTTATGAAGTGAACTGCCAGGCTGGAAGTGTTTACGAGCCCGCCTATCACATTCGACCAAAATACTGGATCTCGACGATCTTCTGACGCTTACCAGTCGCGGCTGTCGATAAGGCAGGCAGGCAGGCAGGTGAAGTGAGGTGGGTGAGGTGGGTGGCGCATTAATATTGACGCCGTCGCGATCAAAAGGATTGTTCTCGGATTAATGGTGCAATTATTGGTACTGGAGGTGCTTGCCAACAAAGCAACTCCCACAAAGGCCTTGGTTGGAAAATGACGATTGATCGAACTCTTAAGGGGACAACAATATTCTTGGTTTATGCGACCGCAACGGCTTCCTTCCTCTTGGTGGAGAAAGAGGTGTGAGTGAATCGGCGCTTAAACGACGATGGGTGGAAAATTCTCCAGCATCTTTGCGAAGCGACCAACACCATGTCGGTCTCTGGATACGGGAAGACCTTACGCACGTATGTACGGAATGGGTGACAGGCATGTTATCACGTCGCAATACCGGTATCTGTACCGGAACCATGGGTGGGAATCAAAGCCGGCCTCCTTTCCTTACCGAAACATTCCTTGCTATCTATCGAGCGCTCCCGAGCAATTATGGATCGGTCTCGATCCGCTTACCTCCACTCTTTTGACCCACAACTGCTACTCGGTGATGGATGTGCTGCGGTAGCTCAGCAAATCAGCAAATCCGCCGGTGAGCAAATCAGTAAATCAGCCTGGGCCCTGAGCAAACCCCTGGAACAAGGGACAGCACTGTACTCCACCTCCACCACCTCTAGTCCCTTACCGAGCCTAAACCTCATTTCGAAAGCCGCTCCACTGGGCCTAGGCTGAACCGTGAACTGCGACTTCAGCCTTCAAACCAGGGAGCTCGCTTGGCTTTCTGCAGACAGCACGTCCTCCGTCTGCCTGTTAACAGGCTCAGTTAGGATCGATGGATGTTTCCTTCCAGCCTTCCAGCCACTCTGCACGGCAACCATGGTCACCATATCATTGACTGTGTTAACTTGCGTTTCCGTCTTGCGGCTTTTGCGGCTTTCTGTACGTCAAATGTTACCGCACTTCAAGATCAATATCGCTTCCCAATCCATATCGCCCGGTGTCCAAGTGGAAACCGAACCGGGACGTGCTGCCTGCTGCCAGACATGGATAGTGCGCCACCGGCCCCTGACATTCATTCCCTTTGCTTACTCTAGGGGGGGTGTACAGCTTTCCAGATCAAACGCACGCCTGCAGCCTCTAGGTGGTCATTTGGAAGCCCCGAGCTGCAACTCCTGCTAGCATCATCCCCTGTCATAGGTATCCTGTCAAGTCAAGCACTGCCGTCTATCCATTGATTCCATTCTGGGTCAAGGGCCACAAGCTTGCGTTATTGGTTGTTAGACCCAGTGCCTTTATTGTGAATAAGAGTTGAACGGAAGGGCAAATTTATTTCAAGTCTGTCTTGGGATCCTCAATAATCAAGTCTGCATCGACCCTCCCTCTTCCTCTTCTTACGACCAAGCTTCCCTATGTTCAGGTCTTCAGTAAAACAATTCCTGTCTTAGCTTCCTCAACCCCAACAAGCTTGCTCATCGGCATCTAACTTCCCTTTTCCTCGAGCCACTTGGAGCGTGGTCCTCACATCACCAACAGTACTAGTTACTACCTTTGAGGTCGCCAAACAAGCTGCTACTTTCAGACAAACTTCATCTCAGCCAAACAACAGCTATTCGATAAGGCGTCAACACCCCCCTACGAACGTGACTGTTCGACCTGTCTATTACTTCCTCGTCTTCTGCATCATTACTTGTACATCTACTAAGATGGAGTTGACCCCCCAGTCTGCTCGTTCACCAACCCCACCATGCGGATACGCTTCCAGTCATCAGCAAGTCTATGATTATCCATCGCCGGCTCAAAGCGACTCAAGGTATCAATCGACCGATTCTCTCCAAGGCTTAGGACTTTATTCATGTCCCAATTCCGACGCTGAACACGGCGGGACAAATATCCCATCGCCTCCAGCTACCAACACCTGGCCTACGGACAATCTACAAAATCTTGATACCCCCAGGACAGCGCAGTCCACACCCAATATCCTATCCGCAGAGTACGATCCTTTTGCTCCATTCCATCCAGCCCTATCAGCGGGATACAACAACGATATCTACTCCGCATATCCTGCGGAAGTATCTATACTTTCTGGCTCACCACTTCCCTCTGGCAACACATCCCAGCGTTCTTCGTTTTCTTCAGCTCCTACGTCCGAGATATTTGCTCAAGCTATTTCAAACCATTTGTTTACTTCCCGGGTCAAGATGGAAGACCACCCTGACTACATCTCTGGTCATGAGGGCTTGTTGATAAGCTCACCGCAACTGAACCACAGCGTTCTTGGGACCTCAAATAGCTCTTACCCTGGAAGCCTGGGATTCTACCACGCTCAAATCTCTATGGGGTGGCCGAAAGTCGATTACACATCCCAGGAGCTCCCTTCGATCGCATCACTTCCTCTTCCCCGGCACGACAGACGGTCGGCGAGTGAAGAGAGAACTCACGGTACGCAGCGTCCTAGCACTGTAGTACGCGCTAGGCAACCCCGGAAGCTTACGACCAAGGAAGACGCCAATTTCCAATGCAATTTCAAAGACTGTGGCAAGTTCTTTGGGAGAAGCTACAACTTCAAAGCGCACATGGAGACTCACGACGCGGGCCGAGAGTACCCTTTCCCGTGTACGATGAAGGAGTGCAAGAGGAAGTTCGTGAGAAAGACGGATCTGCAGAGGCACCAGCAGAGTGTGCACATGAAGCAGAGAAATCACAAATGCGACTACTGCAGTAGATTTTTCGCGAGGAAAGACACTCTCCGAAGGTAGGAGTATTTCCCACTCACAATGAAAATTGCACCAGGGGCTAAATCCATGATCATCTAGACATATGGAAGATGGGTGCTCAAAGCGCTTCGATATTGAGACTATGGAGGTCCAAAGTGAGGGATATGGAAATGGCGATCAGCACTCAGTCTCCATGTGAACTGCCGACACGCACTTCAGACCAGCTGCACTCTCAAGAACAAGCATCGTACAGTACATGTACAGTACACGTACAGCTCCTCCACTCCCTACACTCCACCTCCTGGGGGCCACGGGCTCGTAGACACTTAGACTCACGCCATCCTCGGGCGCATCTTTAGAAAAGGAAGACAGGAATAACTCGCAGGAAAAAAGGGTATCAAGAGCCTGTCTAGACCGGATGATGAAGTGTCAGAAATCAGCAGCAGCCCTGGAGGGGTTCGCTCTCGGCAGTTGGGTCAAGGTAACGGAAACAGTCAGCCCTAGCCTGCAGCTCAGCGCGACTCATCACCTCGTTGGAGGCGCGCTGATCGTTACACGATGTCGTAGTCGATAGCCAACCGGACTCTTCTTCTTCCCTTGAATGGACACTCCCATTCATTCAGGGGCGCCCTATTTGCGCGAGCTAGCATGGTGAAGAGCGAGCGAGCGAGCAGGGACGGGAATCGATGAGCGGGGGAGCAAGTTACGTGTACCGGGGGCTGGGTATTGCCGGGCGTTCGTCTATCTTGTACATATTGCTCTCTCTTACGCTTTGCTGGTCTTTTTGTTTGGTGTTGAGGATACCCCCCTATCTATTTACTTTTGCACGGCGCAGGCATACATACTATAGAACTAGATAGATGGATCGATAGAAAGTGGAGGTTGCCGTATCACGTCTGTCTGGAGATCTGGACCGCTCTTGAGATGCAGAAAGAGAGTAAAAGAGAGTGAAAGTGAAAGTGAAAGAATGATAGAATGGTAGAGAAACGATTAGAGAGACGGAGACGGACAGGTAGACGACGACGAGGACCGGTGGAACGGGTGAGCGAGTGGCTGGTGGCTGGTGGGCTCCAGAGACTAGAGAAAAAAAAAGAAAGGGGGGGGAGTCCAGATCTAGACGGTTCCCGGATGTAGGAGCTAGCGTAGATAGGTCAGTAAGCAAAAGGCATGGGTTCCTCCGCGCGTCTGTCTGTCTATCTGTCTGTGTGGTTTTTTGGGTTTTTTTTTGTGTGTGTGTGTCTTTGTGTGTGTATGTGGATTGAGAATCCAAGACATCAAAGATTCCAATGTAGGGAGGTAAGAGATGGCCAGTTATCCAGTCCAGCAGTCTTTTCATGAAGACTAGGGTTCGGATATAATAGTAATACAGGTAGTAGCGAAGGGGCTGCTGGGATGGGAATTGGGACTAGGCTTGTCCCGTCAGTCCGTTCCGTGGCAATGACCGATCTAGCTCAGGCACCGCTAGTAGCTATATGTTGTGGAAAGACGTGTGTGAATGGGCGGATGGAAATATATGTACGAGTATATATATAATAATATATATATATATATATATATATATATATACATATA